AAGTCACTCCTAACACGAAATAAAATTGTTACTTCATAACTGTAATTTTGCTACTGTTCTGAATCGTAATATAATATATATGATATGCAGGATGTATTTTCATTCACTGGACCAAATTTGACACCAATACCCGATACACCCCGATTTGTATACTGGTGGGGTTGGGGGAGGGACTGATTTTGACATTTGGGAGTTGTAATTCTGGGATTTATAGTTCACCTACAATCAAAGAGCATTCTGAATTCCACCAATGATGGAATTGAACCAAACTTGGCACACAGAACTCCCATGACCAACAGAAAATACTGGAAGGGTTTGGTGGGTATTGACCTTGAGTTTTGGAGTTGCAGTTTACCTACATCCAGAGAGCACTGTGGACTCAATCAATGATGGATCTGGACCATACTTGGCATGAATATTCAACATACCCAAATGTCAACACTAGTGGAGTTTGGGGAAAATAGACCTCGAAATTTGGGAGTTGTAGTTGCTGGGATTTATAGTTCACCAAAATCAAAGAGCAGTCTAATCTCCACCAATGATGGAATTGAACCAATCTTGGCACACAGAATCCCCATGATCAATGGAAATTACTGTGTTTTCTGACGGTCTTTGGCGACCGTTCTGACACACCCTCATGACTCCCCCCCTCCCCCAGGGATCCTGATCTCCAGGTTGAGAAATGCTGCTATAGACGAATAATAATAATAATAATAATAATAGTAGTAGTAGTAGTAGTAAAAGTGGTCCCAGTGGTGATCGGCACACTGGGTGCAATGGCTAAAGACTTTGGCCTGCACTTAAACACAATTGGCGCTGACAAAATTACCATCTGCCCGCTGCAGAAGGCCACCCTACTGGGATCTGCACACATCATTCGCTGATACATCACACAGTCCTAGACACTTGGGAAGTGTCCGATATGTGATCCAATTCAACAGCAAGCAGAGTGTCTGCTGTGGACTCATCTTGTTGTGTTTCTAATAATAATAATAATAATTAGGTTCTTCTGGGTTTTTTCGGGCTATATGGCCATGTTCTAGAGGCATTTCTCCTGACGTTTCGCCTGCATCTATGGCAAGCATCCTCAGAGGTAGTGAGGTCTGTTGGAATTAGGAAAATGGGTTTATATATCTGTGGAATGACTGGGGTGGGGCAAAGAGCTCTTCTCTGCTGGAGCTAGGTGTGAATGTTTTAACTGACCACCTTCATTAGCATTGAAAGGCCTGGCTGAGCCTGGGAATCTTTTGTTGAGAGGTGTTAAGATGTGCCTGGTTGTTTCCTCTCTGCTGTTTTGCTGTTGTAATTTTAAACAATGCTAACTGTTTAAAGCAGAGATTTAATAATAATAATAATAATAAACATAAGCAATAATAGAGTCCTAGACACTTGGGAAGTGTCCAACGTGTGATTGGGGGAGGCCTGGTTCGAGAGCAGTACGTGTGAAAAAGATCTTGGAGTCCTTGTGGACAACAAGTTAAACATGAGCCAACAATGTGATGTGGCGGCAAAAAAAACCAATGGGATTTTGACCTGCATCAAGAGGAGCATAGTGTCTAGATCCAAGGAAGTCATGCTACCCCTCTATTCCGCTTTGGTTAGACCACACCTGGAATATTGTGTCCAATTCTGGGCACCACAATTCAAGAGAGATATTGACAAGCTGGAATGTGTCCAGAGGAGGGCGACTAAAATGATTAAGGGTCTGGAGAACAAGCCCTATGAGGACGGCTTAAGGAGCTGGGCATGTTTAGCCTGAAGAAGAGAAGGCTGAGAGGAGATATGATAGCCATGTATAAATATGTGAGAGGAAGCCACAGGGAGGAGGGAGCAAGCTTGTTTTCTGCTTCCCTGGAGACTAGGACGCGGAACAATGGCTTCAAACTACAAGAGAGGAGATTCCATCTGAACATGAAGAAGAACTTCCTGACTGTGAGAGCCGTTCAGCAGTGGAACTCTCTGCCCCGGAGTGTGGTGGAGGCTCCTTCTTTGGAAGCTTTTAAACAGAGGCTGGATGACCATCTGTCAGGGGTGATTTGAATGCAATATTCCTGCTTCTTGGCAGGGGGTTGGACTGGATGGCCCATGAGGTCTCTTCCAACTCTTTGATTCTATGATTCTATGATCCAATACAACTGCCAGCAGAGTGTCTGCTGTGGACTCATCTTGTTGTGTTTCTAATAATAATAATAATAATAATAATAATAATAATTTTTTACAGGAATGTACTTCAGAGTGGATTTTTCTGACACTCGATGAAAGGGCTTTTTGTGTTTTGGTGGGGCGGTCTCTCTGATAGGCTACAACTGCTCTAACAATTACAACTCTGACTCCTCTTGCCCACATGGGATGAAGCCATCTTTCAGTGGAGACAACTGCATTCTAGTTCAAATGAGTGGGAGAGCCGTGAGGAGGGACCTCTTGGCTTAGAAATATGTATAGGGGAAGGCCATGTGAACAACATATGCCTTTCTTCAGTCCATCCAGCTGTTGGAATTGGAAAGAGGGAAGGGATGTATGAAAAGTCTTAGAAGCCAGATGTGGAAGCAGCTGGGCCAAGTGCTCAGTTCCAGGGAAGGAAATAAATTCCCCCCATAAAAAAAAAATCTCTTGGCATCTGATGTTGTCTTCTTGCTGAGAACTCTAAGGAATAACATGAAGGCATTCCACCCCCTCTCCCCACCCCCATGATGGGATTTTTATCTTTTACATATGCAACAGTCTGTCTCATCCCCCTCATCCCTTTCTTTGCAATTGCATCAATCTGTATCTGCTTGCATGCAAGCCTTCCTTTCCCAATCAGGGTTCTTTCATCTGTGTTCAATGACACTGATAAAGCTGCTGTGGACAATGGGAATTTTTGATATACTTGGAGGCCAGAGCTTGGGCAAGTTACTTTTTTTTTTACCATGCTGTCTGGAGCAAACTACAAGTGTAATCCAGAACTTTTCCAAACTTAAATTCTGAGATATATCCTCCAACTCCCCTGATTTGGTAAGGACAGTATAATTGATGTATTGTTGAAGGTTTTCATGGCCAGAAGGGACAGAGAGTTTCATCTATGCTGATGATCGTGCCATCACCGCTCAAGCAGGGAGCTTTGAGATGGTAGAACAGAAGCTCTCCGAAGCTCTAGGTCAGTGGTTCTCAACCTAGGGGTTGGGACCCCTGGAGGGGTCACGAAGGAGTGTCAGAGGGGTCACTAAAGACCATCAGAAAACACAGCAGTTTCTGTTGGTCATGGGGGTTCTGTGTGGGAAGTTTGGCCCAATTTTGTCATTTGTGGGGTTCAGAGTGCTCTTTGATTGTAGGTGAACTATAAATCCCAGCAACTACAACTCCCAAAATATCAAGGTCTATTTTCTCTAACCTCCTCCAGTATTCACATTTGGGCATGTTGAGTATTCGTGCCAAGTTTGGTCCATATCCATCATTGTTTGAATCCACAGTGCTCTCTGGATAAAGGTGAACTACAACTCCAAAACTCAAGGTCAATGCCTATCAAACCCTTTCAGTATTTTCTGTTGGTCATGGGAGTTCTGTGTGCCAAGTTAAGTTCAAGTCCACTGTTGGTGGAGTTCAGAATGCTCTTTGATTGCAGGTGAACTACAAATCCCAACAACTATAACTCCCAAGTGACAAAATCACCCCCCCCCCCCCCCCCCCCAACCCCACCAGTATCAAATTTGGGCATATCGGGTATTTGTGGCAAATTTGGTCCAGTGAATGAAAATATGTATCAGATATCTACATTACGATTGATAGCAGTAGCAAAATGACAGTTATGAAGTAGGAAGGAAAATAATGTTATGGTTGGGGCTCACCACAACATAAGGAACTGTATTAAGGTGTCGCAGCATGAGGAAGGTTGAGAGCCACTGCTCTAGGTGCTCTTACTGCCTACTACAGGGAAAACCAGCTGATCCCCAACCGTTCTTTTGGGACTGTTTTCCCCCGGACTTTGTAAGAAACGAAGCTTCTGTACAGGTAGAAAACTTTCACGTGCTGTAGCTGAGCTTCAAACTGTAAGACTGAACTAAAGTGGTTCCCTTTCCCTCCTGAACCTGGAAAAAAGGGCGGAACTAAAACTTAACGATGATAGACAGGTGGCTAGCCCCATGACTGCAGCCTAGCAGGAACCATCCAACTGCAAAATGCATGGCCAGAACATGCACATGCAAATGCTCAAAGAACGAAAGGGAGTTTGGAGCTCCCGGTACAGCCGTACCAGCACGCTCTTTGTCAGGAGGGCTTTGATTACGTTTTCTTGCCCTGGTGAAGGGAGTTGGATTGGATGGCCTTAAATATTTTCTGTTGGTCATGGAGGTTCTGTGTGGGAAGTTTGCCACAATTCTGTCATTGGTTGTTCTCAACCTGTGGGTCCCCAGATATTTTGGCCTTCAACTCCCAGACATCCTAACAGCTGGTAAACTAGCTAGGATTTCTGGGAGTTGTAGGCCAAAACACCTGGGGACCTATAGGTCGAGAACCACTGTTGCAGATGAACTATAAATCCCAGCAATTACAACTCTCAAATGACAAATTTCGGCATATTGGGTATTTGTGCCAAATTTGGTCCAGTGAATAAAAATACATCCTGCACATCAGATAGTTACATTATGATTCATAACAGTAGCAAAATTACAGTTACGAAGTAACGATGAAAATAATTTCTCTACAGGTAGAAACCTTTCACGTCCTGTAGCTGAGCTTCCAACTGTAAGACTGAACTAAAATTTATTTCGGTTGCTTCTACCCCGCTCTTCTCACCCCGGGGGGTTCCCTTTCCCTCCTGAACCTGGAAAAAAGGGTGGAACTAAAACTTAACGATGATAGACAGGTGGCTCGCCCCATGACTGCAGCCTAGCAGGAACCATCCAACTGCAAAATGCATGGCCAGAACAAGCACATGCAAACACTCAAAGAACGAAAGGGAGTTTGGAGCTCCTGGTACAACCATATCAGCACAAACTCATCTTCTTCTTCATTTCTTCTTTTAGATGGCCACGGACGTTGGCGGGCATTACAGCATACCAGTCCTGCCTCCAGCACCCCTTCACCTCCGGGAATGGCGGACCCGGCCGCGAGAAGCAAGCGTGGAGGCGCTGCGACCGCACAGGACGCTGGGAGGAGGGGAACTACTCCCATTGCCTGTACACCAACGATATTACCCGCGTTCTCTACACCTTTGTTTTGGTGAGCTTCTTCCACATAAGGGCAAGGAACTGTTAAAAACACGTCTGTAGGACTTTTTGGAAAGGATCTTCAGATGAGAAGGATGTGATCAAGACAGGGGTTTGGATACTGGGATGGGTTAAACTTTTTAAACAGAGGGCCAGGTCACAGTCCCTTAAACTGTTGGAGGGCTGGATTATAATATGAAAAAAAAACCAGGAATGAATTCCTATGCACACTGCATATATCTTATTTGTAGTGCAAAAAACACTTAAAAACAATACAATAATTCAAATGAAGAACAATGTTAACAAATATAAACTTATTAGTATTTCAATGGGAAGTGTGGGCCTGCTTTTGCGTGATGAGATAATGTTGTTGTTGTGTGCTTTCAAGTCATTTCAGACAGGTTGACCCTGAGCGAGGGCTGGGTAAATGACCTTGGGGGGCCGTATTTGGCCCCCGGGCCTTAGTTTGAGGACCCCTGGGTTAAAGCAATGTCATGTTTACCAAATGGAGCATTTAATGGCCAACATACAAAACACAAATCAGTTCCACACATGTGTACTGAGGTTCAGCAAAACAGTAAAGGAGAGCTGTATTCAGATAGCTACTTCTGTTGTTGTGCAGGGAGAAAGATAAAATAGATAGATAGATAGATAGATAGATAGATAGATAGATAGATAGATAGGATAGATGAAAAGCAGCTTGTAGATGTGAAAGATAAAAAGATAGATAGATAGATAGATAGATAGATAGATAGATGGATGGATGGATGGATGGATGGATGGATGGATGGATGGATGGATGAATGGTAAAGGTTTCCCCTTGACATTAAGTCTAGTCATATCCTATTCTGGAGGTTGGTGCTCATCTCTATTTCTAAGCCAAAGCTCTGGCGTTGTCCATAGACGCCTCCAGGGTCATGTGGCCAACATGTCTGCATGGAGTGCTGTTACCTTCCAGTCGGAGTGGTACCTATTGATCTACTCACATTTGTATGTTTTTGAACTGCTAGGTTGGCAGAAGCTGGGGCTAACAGCGGGAGCTCACCCTGCTTCCTGGATTTGAACCGCCAACTTTTCGGTCAGCAAGTTCAGCTCAGCGGTTTAATCCACTGTACCACCGGGGCCGCCAATAGATAGATAGATAGATAAGATAAGATAAGATAAGATAAGATAAGATAAGATAAGATAAGATAAGATAAGATAAGATAGATAAGATAGATAGTTGAAAATCAGCTTGCAGAAGAGAAAGATAAAATGATAGATAGGTAGGTAGGTAGGTAGGTAGGTAGGTAGATAGATAGATAGATAGACAGACAGACAGATAGATAGATGAAAAGCAGCTTGCAGAGGGGAAAGATAACCCTTGGCATCAAGTCTAGTCGTATCCTATTCTGGAGGTTGGTGCTCATCTCCATTTCTAAGCTGAAGAGCCAGCATTGTCCGTAGATGCCTCCAAGGTCATGTGGCCAGCATGACTGCATAGAGTGCCATTACCTTCCTGCCAGAGTGGTACAGATTGATCTACTCACATTTGCATGTTTTAAAACTGCTAGGTTGGCAGAAGCTGGGGCTAACAGCAGGAGCTCACCCTGCTCCCTGGATTCTAACCGCCAACCTTTCGGTTAGGAAATTCAGCTCAGCAATTTAACCCACTGTGCCGCCGGGGCCTCCGATAGATAGATAGATAGAGATAAGATAGACACATGAAAAGCAGCTTGCAGAGGGGAAAGATAAAATGATAGATAGATAGATAGATAGATAGATAGATAGATAGATAGATAGATAGATAGATAGAAAAGGTTTTCCCTTGACTTTAAGTCTAGTAGTGTCCGACTCTGGGAGGTGTTGCACATCTCCATTTCTAAGCTGAAAAGCCAGTGTTTTCCGTAGACACTTCCCAGGTTATGTGGCCAGCATGACTGTATGGAGCACCATTACCTTCTTGCCAGAGTGGTATCTATTGATCTACTCACATTTGCATGTTTTCGAATTGCTAGGTTGGCAGAAGCTGAGGCTAACAGCAGGAGCTCTCCTCGCTCCCTGGATTCGAACCACCGACCTTTCAGTCAGCAAGTTCAGAAGCTCAGTGGTTTAACCTGATACACCACCAGATAGATAGATAGATAAGATTTCTCTTTGTCTTTAAACCTAGTCGTGTCCAACTCTGGGAGGTGGTGCTCATTTCCATTTCTAAGCTGAAGAGCCAGCGTTGTCCGTAGACACCTCCTAGGTTATGTTGCCAGCATGACTGCATGGAGTGCCATGACCTTCCTGCCAGAGTAGTATCAATTGATCTACTCACACTTGCATGTTTTCGAACTGCTAGGTTGGCAGAAGCTGAGGCCAACAGCGGGGACTCACCCTGCTCCTTGGATTTGAACTGCCGACCTTTTGGTTGGCAAGTTCAGAAGCTCAGTGGTTTTACCTGCTGCACCACCAGGGGCTCAGATGGATGGATGGATGGATGGATGGATGGATGGATGGATGGATGGATGGATGGATGGATAGATAGATAGATAGATAGATAGATAGATAGATAGATAGATAGATAGATAGATAGATAGATAGATAGATAGATAGATAGATAGTGTAGGATGGACTGGATGGATGGATGGATGGATAGGATGGATGGATGGATGGATGGATGGATGGATGGATGGATGGGTAAGTAGGTAGGTAGGTAGTGTAGGATGGATGGATGGATGGATGGATGGATTTTCTGTTGGTCATGGGGGTTCTGTGTAGGAAATTTGCCCCAATTCTGTCGTTTGTGGGGTTCAGAATGCTCTTTGATTGTAGGTGAACTACAACTCCCAAATGTCAACGTCTATTTTCCCCAAACTCCATGTTCATATTTGGGCATATGGAATATTTTTGCCGAGTTTGGTCCAGATCCATCATTGTTTGAGTCCACAGTGCTCTCTGGATGTAGATGAACTACAACTCCCAAACTCAAGGTCAATGCCCACCAAACCCTTCTAGTGTTTTCTGTTGGTCAGGGGACTCCTGTGTGCCAAGTTTGGTTCAATTCCATCATTGGTTGAGTTCAGAATGCTCTTTGATTGTAGGTGGACTATAAATTCCAGCAACTACAACTCCCAAATGACAAAATCATAATTTTTTGAGTGATGTTTTGTTGCCAAATTTGGAGTGATTTCTTTCATTGGTTCTTTTGTTTTTAAGGAACTCATTATGCACAGAGCATTTATATATATATATAGATTGGGGGGGGCCAAAGACTGGAATACGACCATAGCCAGAAGCAGTGGTAAAATAATTGCTGTTTAAAAACAAATCCTCGGTCTTGAATTCATTGCAAAGATCACTAGCACTCTTTTTGCATCCTCACAGATGCCCATCAATGCTTCCAATGCACTGACCCTGGCTCACCAACTACGTGTCTACACAGCCGAAGCTGCAAACTTTTCAGACATGATGGATGTAATCTATGTGTCCCAAATGATTGAAAAATTCACTGGCTACGTGGACCAGATTAAGCAGGTAAAAAGATATGATGGAGTTACCTAATTTTGATGGGGCTCTTTGCTGGATTCAGAGCAAAGGGAGAGAGCCGTGATTGGCCCATTGTCTATGCCATTATGAAATCCGAATGTTTGTTGACCTAACTGCTAACTAACCCAGCTTCCTTCATCCTGTCTCCGTTGCCAGTTGGGAAATGTTTTTCCAGGAAGTCCCAACTGGTAATTAATGAGGGTTTCTGTTACAAAAGATCTTGCCATTTTTTTTTGCAATAGTTTGAACAAGCTTCCATAAATTATCCGTAATCTGAACAATCTGAAATCACCCTCTAATTGAGAAAGAGAGGTTGTGTCATTTGTAACGTTTACACAGTGATGGCCTTCACTAAAGATGTTGGGAAAGGGTTGAAACTATAGAAAAACAAAGTAAAAGGCTTTGATGATGGTCTGGAGCAGCATTTCTCAACCTGGGGGTCGGGACCCCTGTGGGGAGGTGTGCGAGGGGGTGTCAGAGAGGTCAACAAAGCCCATCAGAAAACATAGTATTTTCTGTAGGTCATGGGGGTTCTGTGTGGGAAGTTTGGCCCAATTCTATAATTGATGAAGTTCAGAATGCTCTTTGATTGTTGGTGAACTATACATCCCAGCAACTACAACTCCCAAATGGCAAGGTCTATTTTCCCCAAACTCCCAACAGTGCTCACAATCGGGCATATTGAATATTTGTGCCAAATTTGGTCCATGATTATTTGAGTCCATAGTGCTCTCTGGATGTAGGTGAACTACAACTCCAAAACTCAAGGTCAATGCCCACAAAGCCTTTCCAGTATTTTCTGTTGGTCGTGGGGGTTCTGTGTGGAAAGTTTGGCTTTCTTTAGGTAATGTGGGTTCTGTGTGGAAATGATTCCATCATTGGTGGGGTTCTGAATGCTCTCTGATTGTAGGTGAACTATAAATTCCAGAAACTACAATTCCCAAATGTCAAGGTCTATTTCCCCCAAACTCCACCATTTGGGCATATTGAATATTCATACCAAGTTTGATCCAGTCATGGGAGTTCTGTGTGCCAAGTTGGCTTCAATTCCATCATTGGTGGAGCTTAGAATGCTCTTTGATTGTAGGTGAACTATAAATCCCAGCAACTACAACTCCTAAATGACAAAATCAACCCCCCCAAACCCCATCAGCATTCAAATTTGGGCATATCGGGTATTTGTGCCAAATACATCCTGCAAATCAGATATTTACATTATGATTTATAGCAGTAGCGGAATTACAGTTATGAAGTAGCAACGAAAATAATTTTATGGTTGTGGGGTCACTACAACACGAGGAACTGGATTAAGGGGTCATGGCATTAGGAAGGTCTTGAGTATGCTGAGAAATATCCCTGATACCCCTTTCTTCCACCTATAGTATACAGGTTGGGCATCTCTTATCTGAAATGCTTGGGGGGCACACATATTTTGTATTTTGGATTTGTATGGATTTTGCAATACATGACAAGATGTCCCAAAGACCAGACCAGGTCTACACACAACATTCAGTGGTATCAGCATATGTGGTATCAGTGTACCTGTCCGAACATATCTCATTCTACATCCCGCCTAGGAATTTAAGATCTTCTGGAGAGGCCCTGCTCTCGGCCCCACCCTTGTCACAAACAAGACTGGTGGGGACGAGAGACAGGGCCTTCTCGGTGGTGGCCCCCCGCCTGTGGAATTCACTCTCTGGGGAAATTAGATCATCGTCATTCCTCCTCTCTTTTAGAAGGAAATTAAAAACATGGATATGGGACCAGGCCTTTGAGTAATCTGGCAGACTGACAAGGACAATGACGACAAGAGCTTTGGAAACAGATTATAAGATGAATGGACTTACTAATTACAGAACTCGGCGAAACGATGGCCACCAGGCTGGCTTCTAGTAGATTTTATTGTATTAACTTAATGTTTTAATTATTTATAATTACTGTTTTGTTGTGTATTTTATTGTGTTTAATTGCAGGCATCAAATATGTGCCGACTGGAAGCCGCCCTGAGTCCCCCCAGGGGGTGGAGAAGGGCGGGGTAAAAATACCCGAAATAAATTAATAAATACATAAATAAATAATATCATATGCACTGTATATACATAGACCCAATATTTGTAAAAATTTTGTGCATAAGACAAAGTTTGGGAACATGGAACCATCAGAGAGCAAAAGTGTCACTATTTAAGCCATCTATGAGGACAAATTTGTTATACTTCGGATTTCAGATAAGGCATACTCAACCTTATTGGAGAAGTGCTGTCTTGCCCCTCCTAACTTCTTGTGTCTTTTTCCTGTTCCATTTTTGTCAGATCATTAGAGATGGTAAACCTGCTGGGCAAAAATGCTGGTTTTACACAATACATAACACAGAGCATTTGAACAAATATTTAGCTTTGTCGAAGGCTTTTGTAAAGAACTCTTTACCTTAAGCAGCTAGAATGTGGGCCTGGAATTATTATCAGCGATTAATTTCCTGAGATAATCTCCTGTTTTGTTAACATCAAGATTTGAACCCAGAACCCATCTAAGAATTGTACATCAAACGTAACCAGAAGCTTATGGACCAGTAACTTACTGAAACCACTACGCATTTGTACCAGAAGAAGTCTAAGCCTGTTAAAAGTTTTATTATTGTTAGCACTTTACAACAGCTCCAGTGTGAACATCATTGTGATTTAAACCCTCTAGAGAAAACAAACATTATTGTAACACAAAAGGGTGTTACTAAGTATACTCTTCACATACAACTCAGCCTGAATACCAAACAAAAAGGTGGCAGTGAAAACAATTGAAGAAACAGTTTTAAGATCTCCCAGTTGCCTCTTTCCTGTTTTAAAAGATTCCCCTGCACCTATATATAAGTTGGTTGGCAGCTTGTGGGAATTACTATTTTAAAATTCCCTGTTCCTTTCCCTGCTAAGTTCCTTATAATTGATGGCAATTGGCTGGTATAGTTTTCCCCAAGTTCCTTATAATTGGTGAAGCAGTGAGGGGCAATTATTTCTATATCTTGCCTTGTCTGATAAATTCAAATTATTTAAAATCTTCTCTCTACTACTCTTCCAGAATATCCTTATAGCTTTCATGACTGGAATCACTGGGTTCTTGTAGGTTTTTCGGGTTATATGGCCATGTTCTAGAAGCATTCTCTCCTGATGTTTCGCCTGCATCTATGGCAAGCATCCTCAGAGGTTGTGAGGATGCTTGCCATAGATGCAGGCGAAACATTAGGAGAGAATGGTTGTAGACATGGCCATATAGCCCAAAAAACCTACAAGAATCCAAACATTTAGCTGCTGACTTCAGGCCTCCTGCTAATGCTTTGCATCTCAACTTGTCTGTGTTTTCCCAGCTCATGGATGTCATTGTGGAGATGGCCAGCAACATGATGCTAGTGGATGATCACGTTCTTTGGTTGGCACAGATCGAGGACAAGGCCTGCACCAGTATCGTTCGTTCTCTGGAAAAGATTGCCAGCTACACCCTCAGCGCGAATTCTCAGCATGTGGCCGTGGTAAAGATCCAAGTTTTTCTGGGATGGTGAGCTGGGAAAGGAGTAGAGAAAGCACAATGTTCAGCTGAAGGGGGTTTCTGATCAAGAACATGGACAAAGGTTTAGAGGAGAAAAGAATGGACTGATGACCTGGAAGAATCAAAGAATCATAGAATCAAAGAGTTGGAAGAGACCTCATGGGCCATCCAGTCCAACCCCCTGCCAAGAAGCAGGAATATTGCATTCAAATCACCCCTGACAGATGGCCATCCAGCCTCTGTTTAAAAGCTTCCAAAGAAGGAGCCTCCACCACACAGCAGAGAGTTCCACTGCTGAACAGCTCTCACAGTCAGGAAGTTCTTCCTCATGTTCAGATGGAATCTCCTCTCTTGTAGTTTGAAGCCATTGTTCCACGTCCTAGTCTCCAGGGAAGCAGAAAACAAGCTTGCTCCCTCCTCCCTGTGGCTTCCTCTCACATATTTATACATGGCTATCATATCTCCTCTCAGCCTTCTCTTCTTCAGGCTAAACATGCCCAGCTCCTTAAGCCGCTCCTCATAGGGCTTGTTCTCCAGACCCTTGATCATTTTAGTCGCCCTCCTCTGGACACATTCCATCTTGTCAATATCTCTCTTGAATTGTGGTGCCCAGAATTGGACACAATATTCCAGGTGTGGTCTAACCAAAGCAGAATAGAACTTCAGTCTGAGATGATGGGGAAAGCATTGTAGATTGATCAGTATCAAAAATTGCAGTCAGCACCAGAATTTTGACAACTGCCTACTCTGGAACATGCAACATATAATTGCCCTTCTTTAGGGGCTTCTTTCAAATCTATGATACTATATCTGTGTGTGTGTGAATCATATCTATCTCTCTATATCTATGGCTGGATGGCTCTTTGTCAGGAGGGCTTTGATTATGTTTTCTTGCCCCGGTGAAGAGAGTTGGACTGGATGGTCTTAAGTATGGGGGTTCTGTGTGGGAAGTTTGCCCCAATTTTGTCATTGGTGAGGTTCAGCAATGCTCTTTGATTGTAGGTGAACTATAAATCCCAGCAACTACAACTCCCAAATGTCAAGGTCTATTTTCCCCAAACTCCACCAGTGTTCACATTTGGGCATATTGAGTATTTGTGTAGAGTTTGGTCCAGATCCATCATTGTTTGAGTCCACAGTGATCTCGGGATGTAGGTGAACTACAACTCCAAAACCAAAGGACACTGCCCACCAAACCCTTCCAGTATTTTCTGTTGGTCATGGGAGAACTGTGTGCCAAGTTTGGTTCAATTCCATCGTTGGTGGGGTTCAGAATGCTCTTTGATTGGAGGTGAACTATAAATCCCAAGAACTACAACTCCCAAATGACAAAATAAAAAAACATGATGGTCACTCGTTGGCCTGATAGGTGTATTGTGTCCAAATTTGGTGTCAATTCGTCCAGTGGTCTTTGAGTTCTGTTAATCCCACAAACAAATATTACATTTTTATTTATATAGATTATTATTATTATTATTATTATTATTATTATTTGTAACACAACAAGATGAGTCCACAGCAGACACTCTGCTGGCTGTTGTATTGGATCACACGTTGGACACTTCCCAAGTGTCTAGGACTCTATTACTGCTTATGTTTGTTGTTGTTGTTATTATTATTATTATTATTATTATTATTATTTGAAACACAACAAGATGAGTCCCCAGCAGACACTCTGCTGGCTGTTGTATTGGATCACACGTTGGACACTTCCCAAGTGTCTAGGAGTGTGTGATGTATCAGCGAGTACTCCAGAAGCCTTTCATTTATATAATAATAATATAATAATAATAATAATAATAATAATAATAATAATAATAATAAACCTTTATTTATACCCCACTACCATCTCCCAAAGGACTCGGTGTGGCTTACAAGAGGCCGAGCCCAAGTACATCAGTAAAAACAACAACAACAGCAATACAGACAATAAATAAACTCATAAACAAAGCCATAAACAGTAACAATAACACCACGACGCATTAAAAACCTATGGCAGGGCCAAATGTAATAATTAAAAATTTAAAAAATGCTGGGCATGACCAGGTGACATATAACTAGGATAGGTATTTGGAGAGAGATGGAGCGAGCAGACAATCCTAGATCATTAGTAAAGTGCGATTAGGGACATGTTGCTTAGGATTTCCTTATTCTGTGAAGGCACACTGGAACAACCACGTTTTCAGGCTCCTCTTAAAGACTGCCAGAGTTGGGGCATGCCTAATGTCCTTGGGGAGCGAGTTCCAGAGTCGAGGGGCCACCACTGAGAAGGCCCTGTCCCTCATCCCCACCAAGGTGGGATCGCGAGTAGGGCCTCTCCAGATGAACGAAGAGATCGTGTGGGTTCGTACACAGAGATGCGGTCACGCAGGTAGGCGGGTCCCAAACCGTTTAGGGCTTTGTAGGTAAGCACCTGCACCTTGAATTGGGACCGGAAAATGAACAGCAGCCAGTGGAGCTCCTTATATGCTACTATTAGAAAAATCTGGGCCCGTAGAAGTGACAGGTGAAAGAGGAAAGCACAACACAGGACATGTTGTCAGGGAACCTTGGAAAAAATACTAAAATAATTGCAATTTGGGTGGGGGTGAACCCAAGAAGACATGAAAACCAAGCTGTCCTGATTCTGACTCCTACAACCCTTTGCTGTATTGATTCTCTTGACTTTCTATTTACAGAATTCCAGAAATATAGCTTTTGAGGCTTACCTGATCAAGCCAGATAGTTATGTGGGTCTGAGCTGCACAGCCTTTCAGAAGCGGGACATGATGCTCGGTGGCCGGCCCCCACGGCAGGAGCGGTACACTGAGCCCTTGGCCGACCAACAGATCAAGTTCCGGTGCACAACAGGCCGGCCAAACATCTCCCTGACCAGCTTCCACATCAAGGTGAGGTGGAAGTGGAGAAGAAGAAGGGGCAGAAAGTATTCTAGTAGACTTGTATGGTGGGACGAGCAGAATTAATTGAATTCTGCGACCCTTCAACTCAAAATAGACTTAACATGTAACATTCATAGAATAAATTGGCAAGGGGCCATAGCTGAAGAGTGGAATATACACATTGTGTTATTTTGTATTGTTTTATTGCATTCTTATGTTTTTATTTATTTAATTGTGATGTTTGTTTTGTTGTTTTGGTTTTATTTTGTCGTAATGTACTGTTGGGCTTGGCCTCATGTAAACCGCCCGAGTTCCCTTTGGGGAGATGGTGGCGGGATATAAATAAAGATTATTATTATTATTATTATTATTATTATTATTATTATTATTGTATTGTCGAAGGTTTTCATGGCTGGAATCACTGGGTTGTTGTAGGTTTTTTTCGGGCTATATGGCCATGTTCTAGAGGCATTCTCTCCTGACGTTTCGCCTGCATGTATGGCAAGCATTATTATTATTATTATTATTTTATGCAGATTTTTTTTATTCTATGGATTTGAAATTGCAAAACTATAATAGAAAATTGCAAACTTATCCCATGGATATAAAGTTGCAAACTCTTTATTCTATGGATTTAATGTTGCAAAACTATAATAGAAAATTGCAAAATTATCCCATGGATATAAAGTGGCAAACTCTTTATTCTGTGGATTTAAAGTTGCAAAACCATAATTGAAAATTGCAAACTTATCCGATGGATATAAAGTTGCAAACTATTTATTCTATGTATTTAAAATTGCAAAACTATAATAAAAAATTGCAAACTTATCCCGTGGGTATACTCTGGTTTCTCTTCAGATCGTATAAATCTTTCGCCATTTTATGCAGATGTTAAACTCAGCTCCAGATTCAGTTCCTGCTATTTGTAATTTCAGAAACTAGCATGAGACTTTTGAGGGAGCTACTAGAGCTTTTGGGGGGGGGGGCCTGGTGGCACACCTGGCTAAACCGCTGAGCTGCTGAATTTGCTGACCAAAAGGTCAGCAGTTCACATCTGGGGAGTGGGGTGAGCTCCCACTGTTAGGCCCAGCTTCTGCCAAACTAGCAGTTCTAAAACAAGCAAATGTAAGTAGATCAATAGGTACCGCTTCTTCGGGAAGGTAACGCCGCTCCTTGCAGTCATGCTGGCCACATAACCTAGGAGATGTCTACAGACAATTCCGGCTCTTTGGCTTAGAAATGGGGATGAGCACCATCCTCCAGAGTCCGACACGACTGGACTTAATGTCAAGGGAAACCTTTATCTTTATCTATGCAAAAAACACTGCAAGAATTTTTTTCATTCAAAGATATAATTGGAGCCCAAATTAGTATTGCACTGGGTTGTTGTAGGTTTTTTTGGGCTATATGGCTATGGTCTAGAGGCATTTTATCCTGACGTTTCACCTCCATCTATGGCAAGCATCCTCAGAGGTAGTGAGGTCTGTTGGAAGTAGGAAAATGGGTTTATATATCTGTGGAATGACCAGGGTGGGACAAAGGACTCTTGTCTGCTGGAGCTAGGTGTGAATGTTCCCACCCTGGTCATTCCACAGATATATAAACCCATTTTCCTGGTTCCAACAAACCTCACTGCCTCTGAGGATGCTTGCCATAGATGCAGGTGAAATGTCAGGATAAAATGCCTCTAGACCATGGCCATATAGCCCGAAAAAACCTACAACAACCCAGTGATTCTGGACATGAAAGCCTTCGACAATACATAGTATTGCACTATTTATTTATTTATGAGATTTATATAGTTTTGAGCCTTCTGTAGCAGGTTAAATGGACAGTAATCTAATGGAGTTGAAAGGCAATTTCTGTACAGAAGTGTCCAGTCTTATTTTCACGGGGGTGGGATTGGGATGCCCTATGTTCCACCACTGACCCCTTGGTTCCCTCTCCCATCAGAACAGCATCGCTCTGGCTTCCATTCAGCTGCCTCCTGGCCTCTTCTCCCCACTGGCTCCTTCCCACCCGCCTCCTTCCCAGTGTAAGCTGCAGTTCCTGGTTTTCCGAAATGGCAAGCTCTTCCGCAGCATTGGAAACTCCTCGCACCTGGCTGATGACGGCAAGCGGCGCAGTGTGGCCACGCCAGTGGTCTATGCAGGCACACGTAAGGACCTGGTTGCAATGCCAGAGAGAGGGAGAGGGCGCACCCTGCTGTCCTACAGCAACATTTGGGCTACAACTCTCTTTAGCCCCAGTCTGCATGGAATGAAGGCTGTAGTACAGCATTTCTCAACCTGGGGGTCGGAAGCCCGTGGGGGGGGGTCGCAAGGTGATGTCAGAGGGGTCGCCAAAGACCATCAGAAAACACAGGATTTTCTGTTGGTCATGGGAATTCTGTGTGGGAAGTTTGACCCAATTCTGTTGTTGGTGGGGTTCAGAATGCTCTTTGATTGTAGGTGAACTATAAATCCCAGTAAGTACAACTCCCAAATGTCAAGGTCTATTTTCCCCCAAACTCCATCTGTGTTTATATTTGGGCATATGGAATAAATGTATAATAATAGAGTAAAATGATAAATGCAATAATCATAAATAGAATAAAATAATAAATGAAATTAAAATAATAACAACAACAACAACAGTAAGTAAAACAATAAATAACCTTGACTCGCGTATAAGCCGAGGAGGACTTTTTCAGCCTTAAAAGGGCTGAAAAACTAGGCTTATACTCGAGTATATACAGTATATTTAAAATGAAATCAGTTAAAACTATCAAACATAAGACATACATAAAATTTTAATATTTAGACAAAGCATAACATCATCCTAGTATAAACATTAAAATCCCATACTTATGAGAATTGAACATATTTGTTAGGTGTGGAAATTGAAAAATGGAGTGGGAGGCTGTGACGACCTTTCACTACTTTAGTCCTTTTTTAGGTGTCTTTTTATGTGTGACGATGTGGGGGGGAAATATTTTCTTTTAATTTTTTTTACTGTCTTGTATTTATGTATTTTCCCCGTTTTAAATTGGCTGGGGCTTTCTTGTGAGATTTTTCCTTGAGGCTTTTATATTACAGGCTTGAGACACTCTTGTAGTAAACGAAGTAACAAAGTTTATTTATAGCTTCTGGCTCCAACACTTATGGTTACATTTGTGTCTTGTGTTACAGTCTTGAGTCTTACATTCAATATCATTCACTTAGTTAACTTTTCTTATCAAACTTCAACTGTTTCACATCCACAAATATGTTACTTTTTCATACACTCTTGACAGAACTATATTCCGCCTTAAACCACACTGGCACTTCTTTATTTTCCTTAAAACTTAAGATCCATTTTCCTAACTGCTTTTCTCTCACAGAAGTTCCTAACTGTCCTTCACAAACAGGAATCCCTAACTGAAACTTTTTGACTCTCTAACCAACCGCCTATTTTTAAACTTAACTCCGCCCTTTTGGAATGTTCAGCTCTCTTCCCCTCAACTGCCATTCTGGCTCAGTGGCCCTTTCAAATCCTGGCCTACACTCATCTGCATACGACCAATCAGCTGCACGTATGCAAATTAATCTTGCCTCTACTGTTGCTACCCTATTTCTGCCATTTCTGCCAAATTGCAACATAGAGCTATACATCAAAAATTTAACATAGATCAACAAATTCGCTACAGAGGCAGTTACAATTTCAGGGGGAAAAACTTGTGTAATTAGCTCATAGATTGAAGGCTGGGCAGGAGCAATTCCCTGTGATGACATCTTGTTGCAAGTCCCTCTTGTCACTAGAATCAAGTTATTTCTCTGCTTCAAGAAAAGACACCATAGACTGAGTTCCCAAATCTGCTACTTTTCTCTTTCTAAGAACCAACCTGCATGCAGAATGCTTTAAGAAGCCAACAAAAACTCTTGCTTCTCCCAAACCCAGGTGGCTGTGGAGTGAGCAACCTGACTGAGCCTGTCCTCATTTCTCTGCGGCATTTGGACGAAGGGATGGACCGTGTGACTGCTTATTGGGACTTTGAGATTCTGGGGGGCTACGGTGGATGGAGAATGGAAGGCTGCCAACTGATTGGCATGGGGCCCAACGTCACCACCATGAGCTGCCGGCACCTCAGTAATGTGGCTGTGCTGATGGTAGGTATGGGAGAGGCTGGTGGGATGCCAATGGAGTCCAGAAATTGAAGTGTTCCAAAATGTTTTCAAGGGCACAGTAGCTCTTGGAAGTAATATGTAAAATAGTATAATGGTTATAAAGCAAATCAATTGCATTTTTCCTAAGTTTGTTCTGGATCCCAGTTGGATGCAGTAGATTTTTTTGTGTGTGTCAGGAGTGACTTGAGAAACTACAAGTCGCTTCTGGCGTGAGAGAATTGGCCGTCTGCAAGGACATTACCCAGGGGATGCCTGGATGTTGTGAAGTTCTACAATTCTTGAGGGAGACTTCTCTCATGTCCCCTCATGGGGAGCTGAAACTGACAGAGGGAGCTCTGACCTGTCGGTCTTCAGTCCTGCCGTCACAAGGGTTTAACCCATTACACCACCAGGGGCTTTGATGCAGTAGATTCAATAGATAGATAGATTTTTTTTTGGTGTCAGGAGCTACTTGAGAAACTGCAAGTTGCTTCTGGTGAGAAGCAACTGGGCAACTGTCTGCAAGGACGTTGCCCAGGTAGAATCAAAGAATCATAGAATCAAAGAGTTGGAAGAGACCTCATGGGCCATCCAGTCCAACCCCATTCTGCCAAGAAGCAGGAATATTGCATTCAAATCACCCCTGACAGATGGCCATCCAGCCTCTGTTTAAAAGCTTCCAAAGAAGGAGCCTCCACCACACTCCGAGGCAGAGAGGTGTTGCCTGGATGTTTTTACCATCCTGTGGGAGGCTTATTTCATGTCCCCACATGGGAAGCTGGAGCTGACAGTCAAAGCTCTTCCCGCTCCTTGGATTCAAACCGCCGACCTGTCGGTCAGCAGTCCTGCCAGGACAAGGGTTTAACCCATTGCATCACTGGGGGCTCCAATGCACTAGATTAGATTAGATTAGATTAGATAGATAGATAGATAGATAGAATTTTTTTTTCATGTCAGGAGCTACTTGAGAAACTGCAAGTTGCTTCTGGTGTGAGAGAATTGGCTGTCTGCAAGGACGTTGCCCAGGTGTCGCCTGGATGTTGTTACCATCCTGTGGGAGGCTTCTTTCATGTCCCTGCATGGGAAGCTGGAGCTGACAGACGAAGCTCTTCCTGCTCCCTGGATTCAAACCGCCGATCTGTCGGTCAGCAGTCCTGCCAGCACAAGGATTTAACCCATTGCACCACCGGGGGCTCCAATGCACTAGATTAGATAGATAGATTTTTTTTTCATGTCAGGAGCTACTTGAGAAACTGCAAGTTGCTTCTGGTGTGAGAGAATTGGCTGTCGGCAAGGACATTGCCCAGGTGATGCCTGGATGTTTTCACCATCCTGTGGGAGGCTTCCTTCATGTCCCCGCATGGGAAGCTGGAGCTGACAGATGAAGCTCACACCACTCCCCAGATTCAAACCGCCGACCTGTCGGTCAGCAGTCCTGCCAGCACAAGGGTTTAACCCATTGCACCACCTGGGGCTCCTAGATAGATTCAGAAATGAAAAAGGTAACATCATATTTCTTCAGTTACGGTTCCTGAAACATGTACACAGGCCAGCTACACATTTCAGGAAGTCTAAACCTGTAATCCTGACCAGACATTTCAGTTCAGAATATCTCAGCCTCTCTGACTTACCTCTGTTTGATACTGAGCTGTCATTTCTTAAGAGATTTTGGACAAAGGGGAGAATTTTTGGACAGGACAGGAACAGAATTCAAAATGATCTTGACAGATTAGAGAGATGGGCCAAAACTAACAAAATGAAGTTCAACAGTGACAAATGCAAGATACTCCACTTTGGCAGGAAAAATGAAATGCAAAGATACAGAATGGGGGACGATGATGCCTGGCTCGAGAGCAGTACATGTGAAAAAGATCTTGGCGTCCTCATGGACAACAAGTTAAACATGAGCCAACAATGTGATGTGGCGGCAAAAAAAGCCAATGGGATTTTGGCCTGCATCAATAGGAGCCTAGTGTCTAGGTCTAGGGAAGTAATGCTACCCCTCTATTCTGCTTTGGTTAGACCACACCTGGAATATTGTGTCCAATTCTGGGCACCACAATTCAAGAGAGATATTGACAAGCTGGAATGAGTCCAGAGGTGGGTGACTAAAATGATCAAGAGTCTGGAGAACAAGCCCTATGAGGAGCGGCTTAAGGAGCTGGGCATGTTTAGCCTGAAGAAGAGAAGGCTGAGAGGAGATATGATAGCCATGTATAAATATGTGAGAGGAAGCCACAGGGAGGAGGGAGCAAGTTTTCTGCTTCCTTGGAGATTAGGACGCGGAACAATGGCTTCAAACTACAAGAGAGGAGATTCCATCTGAACATGAGGAAGAACTTCCTGACTGTGAGAGCCGTTCAGCAGTGGAACTCTCTGCCCCGAGTGTGGTGGAGGCTCCTTCTTTGGAAGCTTTTAAACAGAGGCTGGATGGCCATCTGTCAGGGGTGATTTGAATGCAATATTCCTGCTTCTTGGCAGAATGGGGTTGGACTGGATGGGCCAGGAGGTCTTTTCCAACTCTTTGATTCTATGATTCTATAATTTATAGACTTAAAACCCAGATAGCACATGGCCTCTGCTTGGAGGACAATACCATCATCCACTCACACATACAGGGAAGTGTGTCTAAATTGCCACCTACTTGACATTGCACACTTTTGAACCGTTTTCTCGAATGCAGGAGCTAAGCAATTTCCCGCGTGAGTCGCAGAGCCCAACAGAAGTGCTGCATCCTGTCATTTATAGCTGCACCGCCCTCCTCCTCCTGTGCCTCTTCACCACCATCATCACCTACATCATTAACCACAGGTGAGTTGTCGCAAGAAGGTCTCCTTCTCATGGCCTTACATCTCTCCATATGGATTAGCAGAGGAGTTTGAAGCAGGGAACTATTTGGAGAATGGAGTTCCAGTGCAGTTAACCGCTGTGTGCCCCTAAAGTAGCTTGCTGCCATCTGGTGTTGTGGAAGATGTCTTGCCACGTAAATAGAAGCCAGTTGTATTCCATGTGCAGAATCAGAGACCTTTTAGTGTCAAAGAATAAGATAGGGCTTTTGATCTCAAAATATTGTGGGGCAGCTGAGCTTATTTTTCATAATGGGATGGTTTTTGTTTTTTCTTCTTACATGTTTGTGTATGTTGCCAGACACACAACTGCATTGGAAGAGGGAGCATCTTATGCAATGCCCAAGTTCTTGTTTTGTTCTATTTTTTTTTCTAAATCCAATTTTAGACACAACTAGAGCAGGCATATTGAAACTCAAATCTGCACAAGCAATAGTTAACAATTTCAATTAATTTCGACCTGTTTACTCCTTTTGGGACTACAATTGGATTTGATCTGCAATATGTAAATATGTTTTAAACAAGTAATGCATGGAAGTGGAAGAAGACAACAGAATAGAAAGGACAAGAGACCTCTTCCAGAAAATTAGAAACATTGGAGGTAAATTTCAGGCAAAAATTGGCATGATAAGAAACAAAGATGGCAGGGACCTAACGGAAGCTGAAGAGATCATGAGAAGGTGGCAAGACTATACAGAAGATCTGTATAGGAAGGATAATAATATCGAGGATAGTTTTGACGGTGTGGTGAGTGAAATAGAACCAGACATCCTGAGGAGTGAGGTTGAATGGGCCTTAAGCACCGGGATTGTGGCGCAGCTGGCTGAGTGTCAGCTGCATTAAGATCACTCTGACCAAAAGGTCATGAGTTCGAAGCCAGCCCGGGTTGGAGTGGGTTTCCAACCAATTGTGTGTAGCCTGTTGTCGACCTTTGCAACCCTGAAAGACAGTTGCATCTGTCAAGTAGGAAAATAAGGTACCACCTTAAAGTGTGGGGAGGCCAAATTAACTGATTTATGAGGCCATAAAGAAGACTCCAGCAAAGCATTCCAGCGGGGAAGCATGCGGGGAATGCGGAAGTGCTTCATCAGCGTTGCAGATGGACACCAAATCACCTTGTCTCTCTCCTGAGGGATCTGTATAAGGACCAAGTAGCAACAGTAAGAACTGACCATGGAACAACAGACTGGTTCAAGATTGGGAAAGGCGTACGGCAGGGTTGTATACTCTTACCCAACTTATTCAACTTGTATGCAGAACACATCATGCGATGTGCGGGGCTTGACGAATGCAAGGCTGGGGTGAAAATTGCTGGAAGAAACATTAACAACCTCAAATATGTAGATGATACCACTTTGTTGGCCGAAAGCGAGGAGGAGCTGAGGAGCCTTCTAATCAAGGTGAAAGAAGAAAGCGCAAAAGCTGGGTTGCAGCTAAACATAAAAAAACCAAGATTATGGCAACAAGAATGATTGACAACTGGGAATAGAGGGAGAAAATGTGGAGGCCGTGACAGACTTTGTATTTCTAGGCGCAAAGATGACTGCAGATGCAGACAGGAAATCAGGAGATGCTTACTTCTTGGGAAGAGAGCAATGACCAATCTTGATAAAATAGTGAAGAGTAGAGACATCACACTGGCAACAAGATCCGCATAGTTAAAGCAATGGTATTCCCCATAGTCATCTATGGATGTGAGAGCTGGACCATAGGGAAGGCTGAGCGAAGGAAGATAGATGCTTTTGAACTGTGGTGTTGGAGGAAAATTCTGAGAGTACCTTGGACTGCGAGAAGATCCAACCAGTCCATTCAGGAAATAAAGCCCGACTGCTCATTGGAGGGAAGGATAGTAGAGGCAAAGATGAAGTCCTTTGGCCACATCATGAGAAGAAAGGAAAGCTTAGAGAAGACAATGATGCTGGGGAAAATGGAAGGAAAAAGGAAGAGGGGCTGACCAAGGGCAAGATGGATGGATGGCATCCTTGAAGTACTGGATTGACCTTGAAGGAGCTGGGGGTGGTGACGGCCAACAGGGAGCTCTGGCGTGGGCTGGTCCATGCGGTCACGAAGAGTCGGAAACGACTGAACGAATGAACAACAACAATGTAAATCAGCCAAGGAAAGCTGCCATCAGTCATATTATTTCACCATCTAGCCCAGGGTGGGAATGTTCTGGAAGTCCAGGGGACCTTTTAAGTAAAGGTAAAGGTTTCCCTTGACATTAAGTCTAGTATTGTCCGACTCTGGGGGGTGGTGCTCATCTCAATTTCTAAGCTGAAGAGCCAACGTTGTCTGTAGACATCTCCAGGGTCATGTGGCCAGCATGACTGCATGGAGTGACATTACCTTCCTGCCAGAATGGTACCTATTTATCTACTCACATTTGCATGTTTTTGAACTGCTAGGTTGGCAGAAGCTGGGGCTAACAGCAGGATCTCACTCTGCTCCCTGGATTTGAACTGCCGACTTTCACTCAGCAAGTTCTGCAGCTCAGCGATTTAACCCGCTGCATCACCAGGTTAACTATAGGGTATTTAGGGTATTATCCTAAATACCTTAAAGGCGCCAAATCCCATCTGATCAGCAAGCTAAGCAGCACTGCTATGTTGACAGAAGCTGGGGCTAACAGTGGGAGCTCACTCCACCTCTCAGATTTGATTTGCTGACCTTTCAGTCAGCAAGCTCAGCAGTTTAACCTCCTGCAGCACCGGGGCTCATTAGGAACATTTTAATGACTGCAAACACAACTCTGGAGTACTACATGTAACTTGTGTGCATCCAAGTGCTGATCTAGCCCAATATTATATATCCTGGAAGACAGAAGTACTCTAAGGTTCTCTCCTTTTGCCTTTTCATCAGAGACCTTCTGTATCCATAACATGTGTGCCATTTTGTACCTCCCAAACTTCCTTATTGGCATTCATCTGGTTCTTTATTTCAGCACCATTCACATCTCCCGTAAGTGCTGGCACATGCTGCTGAATCTGTGTTTCCACATCGCCATGACGTCGGCCGTGTTTGCAGGCGGCATCACCCTCACCAACTATGTGGCCATCTGCCAAGCAGTAAGTATAGTGAAGGGCCCAGAGCTCTTAACAATGGCATTTCTGATGGCTTCACACACACCTTATGTAGTACTGTAATAAGGAGAAACTTGGGACGTTGTAGGTTTTTCGGGCTATATGGCCATGTTCTAGAAGCATTCTCTCCTGACATTTCGCCTGCATCTATGGCAAGCATTGTGAGGTCCTCTGAGGATGCTTGCCACAGATGCAGCCGAACATCAGGAGAAAATGCTTCTAGAACATGGACATATAGCCCGAAAAACCTACAACAACCCAGTGATTCCAGCCATGAAAGCCTTCGACAATACAAGGATAAACTTGCATGGTGCACAAAGAGAATATCACAAAGGGGATCTTCGAAATCCCCAGTGGCCTTTGCAATGTTCCTTTTGTAATCTTGGGTTGGGGGGGGGGGGAGCATAGAAATTATGCTTTGCCAAGAATTATTTTACTCTTATTAGAGCATTTGCTCTAGAAGGCAAATTCAGCATAACAGCAGCATAACCTGTTTAGAATTTGGAATTAATCTCTTTATTTTTGAAGATTCTTGCCACCTTCCTGCCCTCCTAACTGCCAACAGATGTAACTTCCTCCTTTCTTCAGCAATTCCTTTGATCCTCCTAGTAGTGAACCACACATTGCATTGTAGCGTACTTGCCCCCAGGTTGCTTTCCAACTTACTTACTTACTTAGGTGATCCCTCGTTGTCTTGAGTAGGATAATCCTCCAGGGTGGGTCCCTAGGTGACTGTGGAGCCCTATTCTTGATCTGCATCGTCTCCTGCAGTGAGGGCATTGGTTTCCCTATGGAAGGCGGTCCCAGTCGGGGTTGACTTGACGCGCATTCCTCTTGGCACGTTGCTCTCTTTTGCCCTCTATTCGTGCCTCTCCAAATTCTAGAGCACTGCTGGTCACAGCTGACCTCCAGCTGTAGTGCTCAAAGGCCAGGGCCTCCCAGTTCTCAGTGTCTATGCTAGAGATTTTAAGGTTGACTTTCAACCCAGCTTTCAATCTCTTTTCCTGTCCACCAACATTCCATTTTCCGTTCTTGAATTTGGAGTAGAGCAACTGCTTTGGGAGACGGTGGTCGGGCATTCGGACAACATGGCCAGTCCAGCGGAGTTGATGGTGGAGGACCATCGCTTCAGTGCTGGTGGTCTTTGCTTCTTCCAGCATGCTGACATTTGTCCGCCTGTCTGCCCAAGAGATTTGCAGGATTTTCCGGATGCAGCGCTGATGGAATCGTTCTTGGAGTTGCATGTGACATCTATAGACAGTCCACATTTCGAAGGCATATAGCAGAGTTGGGAGGACAATAGCTTTATAAACAAGTTCCTTGGTATCCCTACAGATGTCCCCGGTCCTCAAACACTCTCTGCTTCATTCGGAACAATGTGCTCACAGAGCTCAGGCGGTGTTATATTTCGGTGTCAATGTTGACTGGAGAGGTGGCTGCCAAGGGAGCAGAAATGGTTAACATTTTCTAATGTTACACCAGTAAGCTGTATCTCTAGCTTTCCAATTAATCACTTTTAGCTCAATGATTGTACTTCAACTGCCATAGATACATTCTAGAGCAGTAGTTCCCAACATGTGGTCCGCAAGAACTAAAATATGGTCTGCAGACTCACTGTTACTTCACCATTGCAACGAGAGTGACTAATCTTGCGAAACCCTCTTATAGTGACAAGCCTTATTAAAGATGATTTTCTGTGGGCGAGCAGATGGCAGCTACTGGGTGGCATATGTTCTGTATCAGAAACTAGAGCTGATGTGGTGTATCCAATGCAATTTTCTGAATCACCATCCCAAATAACCAAACTGAATCTAAAGTTGACCAAAAACTGTTTCGTAACACTTTTGGTATTAATGTTGGAGAGTAGACCCTGGTTAAAGTGATCCTTGATCAAAGAGGTCCCTGATCAAGTGCTCCCTGTAAAAAAAAAGGTTGGGAACCACTGTCCTAGGGTTTGTAGCTTGCTGAAGCATCAACGCCCTGGGAACTGCAAATGCCTGTCCCTAAAGTGCAAATTCCAGGATGTCATAGAAAGCAACCATGGCAGTTAAAATGGAATCATAGTGTGATGTGAAAGCACCTCAGATTACTCTCATATGGGTTCCACTCCAACATATTCATGTATACACGTTTTCCACCTTGTCTTTGATATGAATGGGAACTTGTGATCAATGAGATATTCTGGACTTCAGTTGTCATTATTCCACACCAGCAAGGTTAATAGCCAATAAGTAATGGGAGTTTTTGTCCAGCAACATCTGGAGGGCCACAGGTTCTTCTTCATGGTGTCTGAGATCCACGCAAATAGGTTATCTGCACCTGTGCATCTGGAGTTTCGGGGTTCGGTGTCATCTGTATGCAGATGATGTCCAACTCTGTCACTCCTTTCCACCTGCTACTAAGGAGGCTGTTCAAGTCCTGAACCGGTGCTTGGCCGCTGTAACGGACTGGATGAGGGACAACAGATTGAAACTAAATCCAGACAAGACAGAGGTACTCCTGGTCAGTCGAAAGGCCGAACAGGGTATAGGGTTACAGCCTGTGCTTGACGGGGTTACACTCCCCCTGAAGGCGCAGGTTCGCAGCTTGGAACCCTATACCCTGTTCGGCCTTGCGACTGACCAGGAGTACCTCTGTCTTGTCTGGATTTAATTTCAGTTTGTTCGCCCTCATCCAGACCATTACAGCGGCCAGGCACCGGTTCAGGTCTTCGACAGCCTCCTTAGTAGTAGGTGGGAAGGAGTGACAGAGTTGGACATCATCTGCGTACAGATGACACCGCACCCCGAAACTCCGGATGATCTCACCCAGCGGCTTCATGTAGATATTAAACAGCATGGGGGACAGTATAGAGCCCTGTGGAACCCCACAGGTCAAAGGCTGTGGTGTTGAACAGGAGTCCCCCAATAACACCTTCTGTGTACGACCCTCCAGAAATGAGTGGAGCCACTGCAAAGCAGTGCCCCCAAGACCCATCTCCGCAAGGCGCCTCAGAAGGATATCGTGATCGACGGTATCGAAGGCCGCTGAGAGATCCAGGAGCACCAACAGGGACACACTCCCCCTGTCTAGCTCCCGCGCAGATCATCCACTAAGGCGACCAAGACCGTCTCGGTACCATGTCCCGGTCTGAAACCAGACTGTGCCAGATCCAGATATCCGTGTCTCTCAAGAATACCTGGAGTTGTGAGGCCACCACGCTTCCATGACTTTGCCCAAAAAGGGGAGATTGGAAACAGGCCGAAAGTTGTCAAATTTAGTGGGGTCCAATGATGGTTTCTTCAACAGCGGTTTTATAATTGCTTGTTTTAAGCACGCTGGAATCTTGCTGTCCCGAAGGGAGGCGTTAACCACCACCGTTACCCACTCAGCCAATCCCCCTCTGGCCTCCTTCAGAAGCCAGGATGGGCAGGGGTCTAGGATGGACGTGGTGGGTCTCATTCCTCCAAGTATCTTGTCCACATCCTCGGGTTTCACAAACTGAAAAGAATCCATCAAAATAGGACAAGCAGGTGCTCGTGTCACATCCTCTGAGACTGCATTTAACATGGTGTCCAGCTCAGAGCGGATCAAAGCGACTTTGTCTGCGAAGAACCGAGCAAATGCTTCACAGCGCGTGGCCGAATTGTCAGGGCTCCCACCTGAGATGGTGGGAGTTAAAAGACCTCTGACAATCCGAAACAACTCCGCCGGACGGTTTTTTGCAGACGCAATAGTGGCCGCAAAGAAAGTTTTCTTTGCGGCTTTTATTGCCGCGGCATATGCCCTTAGAAAGGACACAAACCGTGCTCGATTTGACTCGCTTGGGTCCGAACGCCACACGCTCTCTAGTTCCCTCTTCCTTCGCTTCATCACTGCCAGCTCCTCAGTAAACCAAGGAGCTGGTTTAGCTCGGCTACTTGAGAGGGGACGTTCCGGAGCGATCATGTCAATTGCCCTGGCCATCTCCCCATTCCAGAGAGCGACCAAGGCCTCGACATGGTCACCTACCGAGGTGGCGGGAAAATCCCCAAGAGCCGTCAGGAATCCATTCGGATCCATCAGCCTCCTGGGGCGGACCATCTTAATGGGTCCTCCACCTTTGCAGAGGTTAGGGGGCGCAGTGAGCCTAAATCTGATCAGGAAGTGGTCGGTCCATGGCAACGGAGCGATGGATAACTCCTCCACACCGCCACCCTGCTCCCATCCCTGACAGAAAACCAAGTCCAATGTATGTCCAGCACAGTGGGTGGGGCCAGATATTTGTTGGGACAGCCCCATGGTTGCCATGGCAGACATGAAGTCCTGAGCCGCTCCTGTGAGGGTCGCCTCGGCATGGATGTTGAAGTCCCCCAGCACAAGAAGCCGTTGAGACTCCAACGCCAGGCTCGAGACCACCCCCGCTAGCTCGGGTAGGGAGACTGTAGTGCAGCGAGGTGGACGGTACACTAACAGAATCCCTATTCTGTCCCGGTCACCCACCCTCAGGTGGACGCATTCAAAATTTGTGGTCTGCGGGATGGGCTCCTGGTCAGATGGATGGAATCTCTATAGACTACTGCGACCCCGCCTCCCCGTCCTCCGGATCTCGGTTGATGCTGTACGGAGAAGCCTGGAGGACAGAGCTGGGTAAGGTTCACACCTCCAGCTTCCTCCAACCAGGTCTCCGTAATGCACGCCAGATCTGCCCGCTCATCCAGGATTAGATCCTGGATAAAGGTCGTTTTTCCGTTGACAGACCTGGCGTTCAACAGCACCACCTTCAATCCGGAGGGCCCGCCAACCTGGTTACACCAATTTACCTTAGGAGACCGATTTGGGATTATTAATGTAGATGAGCGGTCCGAATTAAGCCGAATTTGAGGTCTCCTTTTTCCGCATCTCCCCCTCCCCACCACGACCTCTATGGGGGCTCCCCGGCCAATGGAACACCTCCCCTCCTCCATGCCACAGTCCAAATCCACGTTCTTAGATCCAGTTTCACTAGATGTTTGGTTTGTTGGCGTTTTTTCTTGCCAACTCCCTTGATTCCCTTTCTCCCCCCTCCCCACCTCATTGTTATCCACGGACTCCAGCCCACTTCCTCCCTTGCCCCTTCCACTGGTCACCAATAACAAGGACAGTACAAATAGGGGAATGGGGAACCACATGAGTGATAACAGTACACTTCAGTAAGGTTGAAAGTGATAAGGTGCAATAAACGTCTCAGCGCGGCCGTTGGATAGTTCATAAAGCGCTGGGGCTGCCCTTGAAGACGGCCCGGAAGCTTCAGCTAGTCCAGCGCGCGGCAGCCATGTTACTAACGGGAGCAGGACACAGGGAGCATACAACGCCCTTGTTGTCCCAGCTCCACTGGCTGCCGATCTGCTACCGGGCCCAATTTAAGGTGCTGGTGTTATCCTACAAAGCCCTAAACGGTTCCGGCCCAAAATACCTCGGACCGCATCTCGGCCTATGAGCCCACGAGGGCCTTAAGATCGTCTGGGGAGGCCCTTCTCTCGATCCCGCCTGCCTCACAGGCACGTCTGGCGGGGACGAGAGAAAGGGCCTTCTCGGTGGTGGCCCCCCGGCTGTGGAACACCCTCCCTGTTGACATCAGACAGGCGCCCTCCCTTTTGGCTTTCCGTAAGAGCCTAAAGACCTGGCTATTTGGAAAGGCATTTAATTGAGTGCTTTACAAACGGGTAATGACAAGTGGAACGGAATACGGTCTATGAGATTGGCTATGATTCTATGTGTGACGATGCGGATTAGTTTAGTGTAAATTAGCTTAATGTGTATAATGAATTGTTTATATTGTGATGCCCTACTGTATACTGTTTTTTATATGTTGTACACCGCCGCGAGTCGCCCTAGGGCTGAGAGCGGCGGTTAACAAATGCAATAAATAAATAAATAAATAAATAAATAAATTGGGAGTGATCCTGGACTCATCGCTGAGCCTGGAGCCCCAGGTCTCGGCAGTGGTCAGGGGAATTTTTGCACAATTAAAACTTGTGTGCCAGCTGCGCCCGTACCTTGGGAAGTCTGACTTGGCCATGGTGGTCCATGCTCTGGTTACATCCCGTATAGACTACTGCAATGCTCTCTACGCGGGCTTGCCTCTGAAGACTGTCCGGAAGCTTCAACTAGTCCAACGAACAGCAGCCAGATTACTAACAGGAGCAGGGCACATGACTCCTCTGCTGCGTCAGCTCCACTGGCTGCCAATTAGCTTCCGAGCACAATTCAAAGTGCTGGTGCTGACCTATAAATCCCTAAACGACTCCTGCCCAGTTTATCTGTCCAAATGGATTCTCCCTATGAACCATCCAGGTTGTTAAGATCTTCTGGAGGGGCCCTGCTCTCAGTCCCACCTCCTTCCCAGTTCTCAGTGTCTATGCCAGGGCCTTCTCGGTGGTGGCCCCTCGGCTCTGGAACTCTCTCCCGTTGGAGATTAGATCTGCCCCTTCCCTCCTGACTTTCAGAAAGCTGGTAAAATCTTGGCTTTGGGATATAGCATTTGCAGAATGATGATCGAGTGAATAACGGCTGACCACACCGGCGGATGGTGATGAATTTGTGATTCTACTTTGACAACCTGGCTTTTGTATGATCTGTATTTTAATGTATTTTTGTATTAATGTATTATGATGCTATTATGTTTATCCTATCTGTGTATGAATTTTCTGCCGTTAGACGGCCTGAGTCCCTCTTCGGAGGTCGAGAAGACTGGGTTATAAAAGCTCTAAATACATAAATAAATAAATTGGCAGTAGTACCACCGACCCCCAGCACTCCCTATTGCCGTGTTCTAATAAGTGTGTTTCCTCCCTCACAGGTTGGCATCATTCTCCACTATTCTTCCTTATCCACACTTTTATGGATGGCAGTGATGGCACGAGTGATCTATAAGGAGGCCACGTGGAAGGCGCCACAGCTACAGGAAGGGGAGACGCCCCCGCCAGCCCCACGCCCAATGCTGCGGTACGGAGGAAGAAAGACAGCTTTTGGGGAGGGAAGGGACTATAGATCGTAGGGGAAGGCATAATGGCCGTTTTGCTGGCCCACTTGAGATGCCCCAGATACAGTGCATGGCCCAACTCTTCTGTTCTCCACAGTTTAGAGTGCCTCTTTTGATGGCTACCAATTTTAGTCTTTGTCCCAGTGCTTGGATACCAATGGTGGCTTATTTTAGTCTTTGTCCCAGTGCTTACCTAAATCCCTTATCTGGGAGGCAGGTTCTGCAATGGTGGCTTTCTTTATATTTTCAGATTCTACCTGATTGCTGGCGGGATCCCTCTAATTATCTGCGGAATTACAGCTGCAGTCAATATCCACAATTATGGAGATCACGAGTTCTAGTAAGTAATCACAATCACTGTTTTTGTTATACTGTAGTACCACATATTAAAGGTAAAGGTTTCCCCTTTGACATTAAGTCTAGTTGTGTCCGACTATGGGGAGTAATGCTCATCTCCAGTCCTAAGCTGAAGAGCCAGCGTTGTCCGTAGACACCTCCAAGGTCATGTGACCAGCATGACTGCATGGAGCACCATTACCTTCCCACAGAAGTGGTACCTATTGATCTGCTCATATTTGCATGTTATTGAATTGTGAGGTTGGCAAAAGCTGGGCCTAGCAGTGGGAGCTCACCTAGCTCCCTGAATTTGAACTGCCAGCCTTTCAGTCAGAGAAAGTTCGGCAGCTCAGTCATTTACCTTCGCAACTGCATTTCCATTTACGAACACACACGGTCTCTTCAATCTTCTGGAGAGGCTCTTCTCTCACTCCCACCTGCATCACAAGTGCAACTTGCAGGGACAAGAGAGAGAGCCTTCTCTGTGGTGGCCCCTCAACTCTGGAACTCACTTCCCAAAGACACTAGGCAAGCCCCCATGCTGGCAATCTTCAGGAGGAATCTGAAAACCTGGTTATTCCAATGTTCCTTCAGTGATTGAACGTAAAGTACTCCCTGACCAAAAACTTTGCACTACATGACCTCAGTAGCACTTTATTTATGGTCCGTGCATATCAGCCCGAAGGCGACTCAGGGCGGTGTACAAGTCGGCACAATTAGATGCCATATATAAAAGACATACATCCATAAAAAGCAAAAAATGCATTTAAAACCTTAAAACAATAAATAACTATATCTTCTTGTTAAAATCCTCATCTTGTTAAAATCCTCATCCGTTCCATCGTCTTAGCTGTTCCTAGTTCATTTTCTGATTTGAGTTTTTCTGGTCATGCTGTGGTTCCAAACGCTTGCTCAAAGAGCCAGGTTTTCACTCTTTTTCGAAAGGTCAAGAGGAAGGGGGTTGATCTAATATCCCTAGTTAGGGAGTTCCACAGCCGAGAGGCCACCACAGAGAAGGCCCTGTCTCTCGTCCCCGCCAAATGTGCTTGTGAAGTGGGCGGGATTGAGAGCGGGCCTCCTCAGACGATCTCAAGCTCTTTAAGAGTTCCATAACAAATTGAGGTGAGGCAAATCTTAGTTTGAGGTCAGTAAGGTTGTTATTATAGTCTTCTTTTTGCTGCAAGCCATAGGTTAGCATGACTATTGCTAAGTTTGCTGAATCTGTCTTTTTCTTTTCTCTTTCCTCTGCAACACCACCCAACGCAGTTGCTGGCTGGCTTGTCGTCCAAGCATTGGGGCCTTCTACGTGCCTGCAGCTTTCATTGTTCTTGTCACCTGGATCTACTTCCTGTGCGCTGGAATCTGTTTGAAGTGCCAATCCAAGAAACCCAAAGAGATGCCCAAGCCCCTGGAAACTCGGCAGCACCTCGGTGGCAGCAGCAATCTTTTAACTGACTCGGGTTCCATCTCTGTCACGCTGAATTCTGGGCCACACGCTGTCGAAGTAGATGGTGTCTACTCCCTAGGAGTACAATTCTGGGCCCTTGTGATCACCCATTTTCTGTACATCACTCTTTGGATGTTTGGGGCGATGGCGGTTTCCCAGCGCTGGTTCCTCCTCAAAGTCATCTTCAGTTGCCTCTATGGAGTGATAGCTGGCGCTTTGGGGATCTTCATCTTTGTTTACCACTGTGCCCGTCGTCAGGATGTGCAGAGTTCGTGGTTTGCCTGCTGCCCATCTTATAGGAATGCTTTACCCATGCAAGCCTATGTGCACCCTGGGGTGGGTGTGGAGGATGGTTCCCAGATCTTCATTGGCTGCAGCCCTGAGGTGGCCCCATCTGTCAAGTCTTCATCCTCCCCCAGCAGCACTAACTCAGCCCCAGGACCTTGCAAGCTCAACAACTTGCAAGTGGCCCTTAGCCAGGCAGATGTGAACCCTTTGCCGCCCGTCTGCTGCGAAGAGGCCGAGCCTTCCAATAGCAAGAGTACCCCGCCGGCCAGGTATGCCAACAATTTGCATGGGCGCAATCGGCACCACAAAAGTCGGACTAAGCAGTACCGAGAAGGGAAACACCAACGCCTGAAGGTGCTACGGGGGCCTTCCGCAGAACACCCCACTAGTGAAAGTGGGAGTCTCCACAACAGCCATTCAGAGAGTTACCAAAGTAGTCGGAACAGCCCGTTGAACAATTGGTACCCAGGGATGGTACCAAACTTGGAATCAGCCCTGACGCAGTCTGACCTGAGCGATGGCAGCGGTGGCCATCAGTCGTCAGATTTTGGCCGTGCCAAGCAGAGAAGCACCAGCAGAGACAACCTCAAGCACCAAGCTATGGAAAAAGAGACTAAGAGGCGATCGTTCCCGCTCAATACCACCAATCAGAACGGGGGCCTGAAGGGCAGCAAATATGACATTAACCTCACAAGTGCTGACAGTGCAGCTGGCATGAAAACAGGCCTCTGGAAGAGCGAGACGACAGTATAGGGGAAGCCCAAAGGGCCGGGTGACTACCATTTAAGCAGCCCCAGCCCTTACTTCTCAGACAGGAAGATGTAAGACATAGTATTGCCAGAGCAAGCTGCCAAAGTGGCTGTTATGCACTATGTACGCTCAGGCAGTTTGAGCAGGAGTGGTCGCACTCCTTGCCAGAGTGCCTGCAATACGGAGGAAAGTCCACAGATATTTGAGTGGCAGAGGTGGTTGGGCATGTCTGTGTATCACATCACAAGCATCGCAGTGCATACCCTATCACTGTTGCTTAATGCACCAGCTAATGCTGGTCCGAGGGGAGCATTTCTGTTCCCCTGGAATGAGAAGCAGATGAGTATCCCGCAAGGCACTAAGGTTTGTAAGGTGGAAGACAATCGTTTAGGCTTTTTAAAAAGCATTCTGGAGCGTTGCAATCTTATATCCCTTTTGCATGTCACATAGATCCCCAGTCGCTTTTGTATAATATACCAAAGGCAGTATTATTTATAAGCTGAAAGCTCTAGTATCATGTGTCCGTGTGTATAGGCCAAATGTGCTATTTGATGAAAGTGCCTGCAGACTTTTTGCCAAAACAATCCCATGTTCTGTAAAGGGGGTGTCTCCTCCGGCTGAGCTCAGGGCCACATTTCGTGTCTAGTTTTTAGCTCATTTTGGGTGCCTTGAATGAACCTGCTTGGCAAGCTGTTTTGAAACAGCTCTGCAATGCATGAGGAATTTAAGGTGATGTGCACACATATTATTTCCATTCCATGATCCACAGGTTGAGAATCCATTCTCCTTGACATCCCTTTTTCTAAATGGAAGGGTTTTATTTTTAATTTTGTACCAGTTAAGCATTGAAGAAAAGTGAAAACTACACCTGTATCTTGCAGGATTTTGCATCTAAACTTGCAAAACCTGTATTGTCGAAGGCTTTCATGGCCGGAATCACTGGGTTGTTGTAGGTTTTTCCGGGCTATATGGCCATGTTCTAGAGGCATTTTCTCCTGATGTTTCGCCTGCATCTATGGCAAGCATCCTCAGAGGGAGTGAGGTCTGTTGGAAGTACGAAAATGGGTTTATATATCTGTGGAATGACCAGGGTGGGAGCCCCTGGTGGCACAGTGGGTTAAACCCTTGTGCCGGTAGGACTGAAGATCGACAGGTCGCAGGTTCGAATCCGGGGAGAGGCGGATGAGCTCCCTCTATCAGCTCCAGCTCCTCATGCGGGGACATGAGAGAAGCCTTCCACAAGGATGATAAAACATCAAATCATCCAGGTGTCCCCTGGGCAACGTCCTTGCAGACAGCCAATTCTCTCACACCAGAAGCGACTTGCAGTTTCTCAGGTCAGTCCTGACACAACAACAACAAAAAAAAAAACCAGGGTGGGACAAAGGACTTTTGTCTGCTGCAGCTAGGTGTGAATGTTTCAACTGACCACCTTGATTAGCATTTAATGGCTTGGAAGTGCCTGGGGGGAATCTTTTGTTGAGAGTGCCTTTCCAGACTACTACAACCAGAGAAGTCAGCCATAGCAGAGCACCTGATGAACCAACCTGGAGACAGCATATTATTTGAGAACACAGAAATGCTGGACCACTCTCACAACCACCATGTCAGACTACGCAGAGAAGCCATTGAAATCCACAAGCATGTGGACAATGTCAACAGAAAGGAAGAAACCATGAAAATGAACAAAATCTGGCTACCAGTATTAAAAAACTCAAAAATTACAACAGCAAAACAACAGAGAGTAAACAATCAGGCATATCAAATCACCTCTCAACAAAAGATTCCCCCAGACACTTCCAAGCCATTAAATGCTAATCAAGGTGGTCAGTTGAAACATTCACACCTAGCTGCGGCAGACAAAAGTCCTTTGTCCCACCCTGGTCATTCCACAGATATATAAACCCATTTTCCTATTTCCAACAGATCTCACTATTTCTGAGGATGCTTGCCATAGATGCAGGCGAAATGTCAGGAGAAAATGCCTCTAGAACATGGTCATATAGACCGGAAAAACCTACAACAACCCTTGCAAAATCTGTTATTAATGTTTGCACCATGATCAAAAAGTCAGCAATTTTGGCTGGCCAAGCTGTCCCCATATATTTTTGAGAAAGGCCGGATAAGAAGAGCATGGGTATTGCTGCCCAAAAAATGCACATAGTACCATGTGCCCCACTCTCCTGCTAGTCTTTTCCAAAAGAAAGGAATGCTGTGTGCCATTGCCCAGAAGTGTTATCGTATATTCAGGAAGCAGCAGACAATGCTTTCTATTACCCATCTTTCTTGCTCAGGAACATGAAAATCGAGTTGGGGAATATGAGTTGCCAATGAATTCTATTTGGAGCGAGGACAACATGCAGCTTCCAAACAACCCCCAAGTTTCCTTCTACCTTTGGACTTGGAAGGATTGGGAGAAAGCATAGCACATATGGGCCAGATCCTGTTGGTAACATGCTCAGAAATTTCTTAACACTGAACTTCCTTGCAAAAACATTTTAAAGGCTGAAGGACAGCATGGGGCACACAGGCAGTTCTCCAGTTGAGAGTAAAGACTTGGAATTCTTACTAGTGGGACATTCCTTTGAAAACGGATGTATCATGGCACTTCCACATAGTGCCAAAACGCACTCTGAAGTGCGTTTAAGTAACCCACTTCGGCATTGGTTCCTGTTCCCACTCCCTCACCTAAACTCCAGGCTTTCCTGGGGAAGTGGCTACGTGTCATCCTTATTGAAATTGTGATGGTATGAAGCCTCCCTTAAGCCCCCCAATTTTCCCCTAAAAGTTAATTAAAAAGTACCTTGATGCCATAAAGGTCTTCTTCGCGTCCTTCTGGTATGAGGAAATTACACCTGAAGAGATGGGAGGAATGAGGAGAAAAATCCTCCTCCCCCCCTTTTCTGGTCTTCTCACATCATTTCCTCGTGCCAGGAGGACGCGAGGAAAACCTTAATGGCACAGTGGGTTAAACCCCTGTGCTGGCAGAACTGAAGATCGACAGGTCGCAGGTTTGAATCCGGGGAGAGGCGGATGAGCTCCCTCTATCAGCTCCAGCTCCTCATGCGGGGACATGAGAAAAGCCTCCCACAAGGATGATAAAACATCAAATCATCCAGGTGTCCCCTGGGCAACATCCTTGCAGACGGCCAATTCTCTCACACCAGAAGCGACTTGCAGTTTTTCAAGTCGCTCCCGACACGACAAAAACAACAACTTTTAACAAACTTTCAGGAAGGCCCGGATCTAACGGGGTATCTAATTAATTCAGAACAAGCCAAGGAAACCTTGGTTGGTTCCGAATTAATTTATTTTTACTGAAGGCGTCGCGTGGGCGCCTCTGGTAAAAACGAAGACAGGTCCCAGTTTTTTGGGCCTGTCTGGATGTGCCCTTAAATTGCCATATAAATGAAATTAATTGGACTGCAGATTAGTTTAAGTAACAGATCAATAACCTAAGTTACATACAAGCACTTACCAGAACTGCTTAAAAGCATCATTCTCCTTTCTGTCGTGAAGAGTTCTCTTGGCCATGTGGCCTGTTTATGCCAAGTATGCTTTTTTCAGAAATGTTGTTCTTCTGCATGTTCAATACGAAATCACACAAATGATACAGACACCAAGGTTTGTTTGTGTGCATTCATAAGTCAGTATATCCCACCATGCCAGCACATTATTTCAGAAGGGATGTAGCCATCAAAGAGTATCTTCCACAATAACACATATAGTCTAAAAGAGCAGCAAGAGTGTGGAGAATAGGTTAGCCGTATGTGTTGCTTTACACAGAGTTCTCTCTGTAAAGGGACAGTTTGGTTTATAAATAAAGAACCCAATACAGGGTCCCTGAATCTGCCAATGAATAGAACACCTGAGTAGCAGAACCACAAGTCACCTGGTTGCAATAGTCTCAGAAATGTATTGCATTTTGATTTAAATTCTTGCATTTTTGAAATTTTAATACAAACGTGTCCCTTTTTGGGTAACATATTTCCTCTTTTTGGCAACGTTTTTAGTAGCCACTAAAGGTATTACAGCCCCCCCCCCGTGGTGCAGCAAGTTAAACCGCTGAGCTGCTTAACTTGCTGACTGAAAGGTCAGTGCTTCAGATCTGGGGAGTGGGGTGAGCTCCCACTGTTAGTCCTGCCTTCTGCCAACCTAGCAGTTCGGAAACATGCAAATGTGAGTAAATAGATAGGTACCACTTCTGCAGGAAGTTAACGGTGCTCCATGCAGTCATGCTGGCCACAGGACCTTGGAGGGATCTATGGAAAATGCTGGCTCTTCAGCCTAGAAATGGAGATGAGCACCACCTCCCAAAATCGGACATGGCTAGACTTAATGTCAGGAGAAACCTTTACCTAAAAGTATCTTTATTACAAATAAAAAATCACTTGGTTTTTTAGTTTTATAAAAATGTTAACAGGAGTGATTGGGCACTTGAGCTCCATATAGCAGAATCAATAAACAATACAACTCAGTATAATGACTTAAAAGCTATTGGTTTCCACAAGTTTTGAGCAGGTGAATAAATAAATAGGATGCAGGTTACTAGCACCTTTAGTCGCAATAAGCAAACCATCCTTTTTCTCTGTGATCACCTTGGAAACACAGCTGACATGGAAAGTGGGACAAACTGTTCCAACTGTCTTGCAAAGAAATGAGAAGAGAATTGTGGAGAAACATGTGGGCAGGGACTACGAATGAGAAACAAACATATTCTTGGTACACATGCCTACACAAAACTCTTGTGCCTTATTCTTACCACTCCATGATAAGCAGAAAAACACATTTCCCTAACTGAAAGCAAAAAAAGTAAAAATGGCCTTCTGTATGAGCAGATAGTAGCCACTTCCTTGCCTATATTAAAAACCTACCTCCAAGGAACTACAGGATTGTTTTAGCCCAACTTGTATGGGGCTTCAAGCCAAGAGAAAGGAGCCATGGGTCAGTAAGGCCCTGCACTGGCTCAGGCCTGCCTTTGGAAATTGTAGCCAATGAGATTATATAGCACTTAATCCCTGAATCTTCCAAAAACTGTTGACGGGTGCTTCTTTCGGTCTTGCCTGAGAGTTACTCCTTCCCTCCCATCTCTGGAAAGAAAAGCCTTCTCGGTTTTATATGTATATTTAATAAAGCCTCAATCATTTATAGGTCAGTACTACAACTCACATATTGGCGGTGCTGAGCTTGTTTATATATGCTTGCTACACCGAAACAGTATTATTGGAAAAGCTTTGTATTTGTTCATCTGTTTACATTATAAGCAAAAATGACATATCAGACAGAAAGCTCTTTGAGAGATAACTGTGCCAAAGAAAGCATTTAAAATAGTTGTTTTGTGTGTTTGGTTGGGTTTTTTGTTTTGTTTTGCATTTTATATAAATGAACTGTTTCTAGCAGATGTTTCTTCTTTAATATATTAAAGATTTGCAACATCCAATATGTGAGCTATACTTTTCTGGAATTTCTGATGCTTCTAGCAACGCATGCATTTTCCAAAAATCCAAGTAACATATATACCCGAGTATAAGCCGACCCGAATACAAGCTGAGGCACCTAATTTTACTACAAAAAACTGGGAAAGCTTATTGACTCGAGTATGAACCGAAGGTCCTGTTCAACATATGTATTAATGACTTAGATGAAGGGCTAGAAGGCATGATCATCAAGTTTGCAGACGAGACCAAATTGGGAGGGAGAGCCAATACTCCAGAGGACAGGAGCAGGATTCAAAACGATCTTGACAGATTAGAGAGATGGGCCAAAACTAACAAAATGAAGTTCAACAGTGACAAATGCAAGATACTTCACTTTGGCAGGAAAAACGAAATGCAAAGATACAGAATGGGGGACAATGCCTGGCTCGAGAGCAGTACGTGTGAAAAAGATCTTGGAGTCCTCGTGGACAACAAGTTAAACATGAGCCAACAATGTGATGTGGTGGCAAAAAAAGCCAATGGGATTTTGGCCTGCATCAATAGGAGCCTAGTGTCTAGATCTAGGGAAGTCATGCTCCCCATGCTCTATTCCGCTTTGGTTAGACCACACCTGGAATATTGTGTCCAATTCTGGGCACCACAATTCAAGAGAGATATTGACAAGCTGGAATGTGTCCAGAGGAGGGCGACTAAAACTATCAAGGGTCTGGAGAACAAGCCCTATGAGGAGCGGCTTAAGGAGCTGGGCATGTTTAGCCTGAAGAAGAGAAGGCTGAGAGGAGATATGATAGCCATGTATAAATATGTGAGAGGAAGCCACAGGGAGGAGGGAGCAAGCTTGTTTTCTGCTTCCATGGAGACTAGAACGCGAAACAATGGCTTCCAACTACAAGAGAGGAGATTCCATCTGAACATGAGGAAGAACTTCCTGACTGTGAGAGCCATTCAGCAGTGGAACTCTCTGCCCTGGAGTATGGTAGAGGCTCCTTCTTTGGAAGCTTTTAAATGAATGCAATGACTCTGAGAGAGGCCTCAGTGTGAGGTAAGCCTCAGAGTTAGTAGACCTTTAGTGTGCGTAAGGCCTCGTGTGAGAAGGCTTCAGTGAGAGAAGCCCCAGGTTGAAGGCCTCATGTGTAAAGCTCCAGTGTGAAGACTGTTGTGTGTAAAACGCTACTGTATGATGCTCCTGTGTAAGTTTGATGTGAGAAGAGGCTCTGTGAGAGCGAAGCTGTTTATCTGCATGACAAAGAAGCCCAGCGTGGAAGCAGTGGAACTCTCTGCCCTGGAGTGTGGTGGAGGTTCCTTCTTTGGAAGCTTTTAAACAGAGGCTGGATGGCCATCTGTCAGGTTTGATTTAAATGCAATATTCCTGCTTCTTGGCAGGGGGTTGGACTGGATGGCCCATGAGGTCTCTTCCAACTCTTTGATTCTATGATTCTATGATACTGCTAAATTTCAATATAAAAATAGATACCAATCAAATCACACTAATTGAGGCATCAGTAGGTTAAATGTTTTTGAATATTTATCATATTTCAAAGAAAAACAGTACACTAGCCCTGTAAGTGGAAAAGTAGAATCAACAAAAATATGGTATCAAGAATAACCTAATAATAATAATAATAATAATAATAATAATAATAATAATAATAATTCATTGGTACTTGTGCCACAAATACTATCTGCCTGCGACAAAGAATTGGTGGGATCACAAGCCGGAAAAAGTTATAGAAAACAAACACATCAAGCTACTCTGGGACTTCCGGATTCAGACAGACAGAGTTTTGGAGCACAATATTCCTGACCTCACAATCGTGTTAAAAAACAAAATATGGATTGTTGATGTTGCAATTCCAGTTGCCAGCAGGGTTGAAGAGAAACAACTGGAAAAGATGACACAATATGAAGATTTAAAAATTGAACTGCAAAGACTCTGGCATAAACCAGTAAAGGTGGTCCCAGTGGTGACTGGAACACTGGGTGCAATGCCTAAAGACCTTGAATGCACTTAAACACAATCGGCACTAACAAAATTACCATCTGCTAGCTGCAAAAGGCCACCTTACTGGGATCTGCACACATTATTCAGCGATATATCACACAGTCCTAGACACTTGGGAAGTGTCCGACGTGTGATCCAATACAACAGCCAGCAGAGTGTCTGCTGTGGACACATCTTGTTGTGTTTCAAATAATAATAATAATAATAATAATAATAATAATAATAATAATAATAATAATAATAAATAGAACTTCATTTGTATCCCGCTCTATCTCCCCATGGGGAATTAGTCTAGCTACCAACATAGTAACAGGCATTCAATGCCCATATAAACAATGCAGAGCTAGATATAAATCTATAATTATATATACTAATTGCACATATACATTTCCCCCTGAAACGTTTGCAAATCCTCTATATATGTGCATTTCCCTCCTGCAATATTTGCAAGCCCTATATATCTATATTCATATCTATCTATCTAGACATCCCTCTATATATTGATAATTATGCCTATATAGGATTTGCAAAGATTTGCAATCACGTGAGTGGAAAATTCATATAAAATAATGTATATATATAGATACAGATACACAGATACATGGAAATCTTTAGATATCTATATGTATATAGGATTTGCAAAGACCTGCAAACATATGAGGGGTAAACTTCCAAGGTAAGAAAAATGCTCATATGAAGTTAATACATTTAGATACACAAAAAATAGGCTCTGCTGCCTAGCCTTGACCCCATTATAAGCCAAGGGTGGCTTTTTCAGCTCAAAACAAAGGGCTGAAAAACTCACTTATCTTCGAGTATATACGATATTCGTCCATTCTGTGAAATAAAAGTAGCTTTTCCTTAAGCGCAAAAATGGGGAGATAATTCAAGGCAATGTGAAATGGTATCTATATAAATAAAAAATGTAATGTTCATTTGTGGGATTAACATAACTCAAGCCACTGGATGAATTGACACGAAATTTGGACACAAGACACCTATCAGGCCAATGAGTGACCATCACTCATAAAAACAACTGAAAAACATGGAAGGACTTAAAAGCCAAAAAGCAAAAATACAGTATAACCGGGATTGTGGCACAGCTGGCTGGGAGTCAGCTGCATAAGATCACTCTGACCAAAAGGTCATGAGTTCGAAGCCAGCCCGGGTTGGAGTGGGTTTCCAACCAATTGTGTAGCCTGTTGTCGACCTTTGCAACCCGAAAGACAGTTGCATCTGTCAAGTAGGAAAATTAGGTACCACCTTAAAGTGTGGGGAGGCTAAATTAACTAATTTATGAAGCCATAAAAAAAGACTCCAGCACTCCAGCAAAAAGCATGCGGGGAATGCGGAAGTACTTCATCAGTGTCGCAGATGGACAATGAAAGCGACAGCTCCCCTGGCGGCCAGAAAAAGTTAAATAGCTTCTGTCTATGTCTGTATATGTTGTATGTCAAAATTGGCATTGAATGTTTGCCATATATGTGTACACTGTAATCCGCCCTGAGTCCCCTGCGGGGTGAGAAGGGCGGAATATAAAAGCTGTAAATAAAATAAATAAATAAATAATAATAATAATAATAGCATACCCACACTCTCTTTTTGGACTACCGCTCCCAGCATCCCATAGACCAGGCCCTTTAGGAGAGGAGGAGGATGATCCAAATTCACTGCTTCCAAGATACAAGCTTTCTTCTCTTTAGATTTCTTTTGAGAGCATCCCAATCCCTGCATATTTCCAATTTCCTATTCCTGGATTGCAACTCCCAGCAATCCTTCAGATAGATAGATTAGATGGAGATAAATAGGTAGGTAGGTAGACAGATCAGGAGGACTGCTGGGAGTTGCAGTCCAAGAATAGGTAGAGAAGAAAAAAAGGAGAGAAAAGGGAAAGAAAAGGGAGAAGAAAGGAGGAAGAGGAAAAGAAAAAGAAGGAAGGAAGAAGGAAGGAAGGGAGGGAGGGAGGAGGAGGGAGGAGGAGGAAGAGAGAGAGAGAGAGAGAGAAAAAGAAAGAGGAAGGTGGGCCACAGCAACGCATGGCAGGCACAGCTAGTACAATAATATCTCAGTTAATGTAGTAGAAGTGTTGCTGGGCATCACAGAGAATGCAGAATGCAATGTGGAAAGAATAGGAACATCATATATATGCTGCAACAGTTAGTCCAAAATCTTAAAAATATACAAAATACTTATCTCAGCATTTTGAATAAGGTATATTCAACCTGAATCTATAATATAATATAATATAATGTATTAATATAATATAATGTATATACATGTAATATTTATAATATTATAATGTAATGCAATATAATACTACTAATAATATGATATTATAATTATATATTTATATTACATGTAATATTACTAATAATATTACAATATAATGGTATAGTACAATATAGTAATATATAATACTTATATTGTACTATGCTAACAATATAATATATTGTATGTATGTATACCTTGTAAACCGCTCTGAGTCCCCTTCGGGGTGAGAAGGGCGGCATATAAATGTCGTAAATAAATAAATAAATATCACAAAAAAGAAGAGAAATTCTCCAAGTTTCAACAAATTTCATTCAGAACCAATAATATCCACAAGTGAAATGCAACGAACAAGTCAGGAAGGCTTGTGTTTATCTCCAACCTTTCTTCACAATTATATTATAGAGGACAAAGAAGAAAAGCTGGGGGCCAAATAGGCATAAAAAGACTTTTTAAAAGAAAGGCTTTATTAACTGGGTTATGAAGTTTTTTTGTTTCATACATACCCTTTGTGATGTGGGTGCAAGAGCCCCTAAAATAAAAGGAATTAGCTCTAGGATGAATCAATGCCGACTGCTGGTTGTACATTCCCAGAATCATTTGTGTCTATTTAAGGATCCCTGAGCCTCCCTAAATGCCTCCTTTTCTTCTGACGTTCGGATGTATTGTTCTATCTCGCTATCTGAAATGTCCTCATCCCCGGTGATCGCATAGTCTTCAGGGCGCAGATCGGGAGTCCTCAACTTCTTCTTGGGATTCAGCATGCAAGGTGGGAGCAAAGGCGCCCGCTTACTGCCACCTTTCTGCCCCTCTCCTGGAAGGGGAATCTCTTCTGTCATTACAGAACTTTCTTTTACAAGCTGCTGTGGTGTCTCTGGTGCTGAGCCCTCTATATTACAGCCATCAGTGCTATCCATTCTGGAAAAGGCAGTCTGCAAAAGCACACGGCGATGCTGCAGCAGGTCACCAACATACTTTGCCACAGTCCTCTGATCCACCTTGAGCACTCGCAGCCAGGCCAAATGAGAAGCCATCTGGAGAAGGATGTTATGCAGCTCCTTCAGCCTCTGGTGAGCTGGCCGGGGCGCATCTGTGCCTGCAAGTTTGCAGAACTTAGAAAGAGTGCAACTGAGGCGATCAACGGGTCGCAGAGACTGCCATGCCAGGAAGGCTGCTGCCATCACAATGGGGATGGGATGCCGGCCAGTCACCAGCCATGTTTCACTGGCAAGCTCCACCATCTGAATAGTCCTCTCCACCAGCTGCTCTTTGTCTTCAACAAATTTGGGTGGGATGCCCGATGACTGCTGAAAAAGCTTGAAACTGGAAAGGAAGGAAAGCAAGCATGCCATTTACAAGGATTACTCTGTCTAGACATGACAAGAGGTGCTGAGAGCAAAACCAAGTGAGCAAACATGGCCATGTTTGTAGTATGCAAAGGCAAGCTGGTACATGGGTAGCAGAAGAAAGCACTTGACATAATGATGTTGCGTGCCTTCATTCCTGACTTTCAGCAGTCACATAATGGGCATTTCATGGCCAGATTCGTTCAGAGGGGATTGCCATTCTCTGAGAACAGCAGAGTATAACTGGCTACGGTCACCCTATCAGTTACTATGGTCAATCAGCAGTCTACGCTAAGTTTTCCCAGTATCCTACTCAGATCATTGTACCATAGGTGAGAACTGTTGCAACTCATTCCAGCTAAGGGCAGTACAGCCAAAGCCAATGAAGTTGGAGTTCAACATTGTCAGAAATATTAATAATGAAGTAGGTATTATTCATTGCAAAAATGTGAGTCAAGCACTGAAAGGGTTAAATGGATGCAATGACTCTGCAAAAGCTGCACTTCAATATAACTGGTGCCTCAGTGTTAGCTGCTCTCAGTATGAGACAAACCTCAGAATGAGAAGACTCCAGTGTTAGTTTGCCTCTGTATAAGAATGTCTAAATGTTAGTACACTTCGGTGTGAGGTAGGCCTCAGAGTTAGTAGGCCTCCGTGTGTCAAGAGGCCTGGTGTGAGAAGCTTCATTGAGAGAAGCCCCAGGTTGTAAATCTTGTGTGTGAAGCTCCAGTGTGAAGGTTGCTGTGTGTAAAAAGCTACTGTGTGAAGATCCTGTGTAAGTTCAGTTTGAGAAGAAGCTCAGTAAGAGTGAAACTGTTTCACTCTTACTGAGCTTCCTCTCAAACCGAACTTACATGAGAAAGAAGCCCAACGTGGAAGCGAAGAAGGAAGTATAAAGAAATTTATTTGTGTTAATAATAATAATAATAATCATAATCATCATCTTTATTTATACCCCGCCACCATCTCCCCAGTGGGGACTTGGAGCGGCTTACATGGGGCCAAGCCCGGACAACATATTACAGCAGAATAAAACCAAAAACATAAACAACAAACAGCATCATCAAAATTACATAGAAGAAGAAAAAACATTCCAATAAACAGTCACGATAACAGTGAGCAGGCCACATGTACCAGGAGGAAACAATTAAAAGACTCTAATGAGATAAAAATAGGAGCAAGTTATTTGCAGGGAGCTCATAAAAACAACCTTGCTGTAAATAGTGCAATTATATTATTTTGCTATAAAGAAAAGCCTCCTAAGGAAGATATAAGATTGGTCTGTGTTTTTGTTCTTTTTATCACTTTTGTCTACTGGTGCTGGGTCACGCTGCTGCTAATAAGTTACTCTGCTGTACATTTATGAGGAGGGTCTTTTGTTAATAAGCCCACTCGCCCAACAAACATCATCTACCAAAATCACTGCCTCTGTCCTGAAGTCTTTTTCAGAATCTTATCTATCTTAAAATTCTGTATGTGTGAAACATAGAATTTTGGAACAAAAGTAGAATCCAGGATACAAAGAATTTTATCTGCATGAAAAAAATTAGAGTCCTAAAACTTCCCCAGCCCTTGTCAACAAAGGACTATATGATGAGGAGAGCAGGAGGATCTACAGATATCATTCCTTCCCTTATTTATTTGTTCATTATTTATGTTTCTATTCTACTTTTCCATCCACAAGCTCAAAATGTTTTAAAATGATTTTATTGTAAGTTGTAGTTTTTATGGTATTTATGTTGTTGGCATCTTCTGATGCTCATGTGAGGCCGCGCTGAGTCCCCCTTGTGGGGAGAAGGGTGGGATATAAATATATGAAATAAATAAATACATAAAAGGCCATACACAACTCCTCTCCACTTGATCTCAATAAGTACCTGGTGTGGAAGGACCGCCTGAAAAAGTGATGGGCCCAAGCTCAACCATTGTGTCCTGTAGCTCGCTAGAGATTAGAACTATCTTTCAAATCCCTGTCCAACCTTCAAACTTCTAGATCACAATGTCGGATTTTCCAAGAGCTTTTTGTATTTGAAGCAGCTAACATCTCTATTGTTTTAAAGCAGATGAAATCTCTATCCGAGAGTTTCCCACATAATTTAGAATTCAAACTGTACCTTCTCTATCATGTTAGAAGGACCAACGCCCCTGTCAAATACAAACAGATAGCCACCATTCTTTACAAAAATGTGTATATATACAACGGGTGGCAGCCAGGCTACTAACTGGAGCGATTTACAGGGAGCGGTCAACCCCCCTGTTTAAGGAGCTCCATTGGCTGCCGTTCATTTTCCGGTCCCAATTCAAGGTGCAGGTTCTTACCTACAAAGTCCTGAAGAATTTGGGACCCGCTTACATGGCCACATTTCTGTGTATGAACCCACATAATCTCTTCAATCATCTGGAGAGGCCTTGCTCTCGCTCCCGCCCCCTTTGCAGGTGCGATTGGTGGGGACGAGGGAGAGGGCCTTCTCTGTGGTGCCCCCCCCCCCAACTCTGGAACTCACTCCCCAAGGATATCAGACAAGCCCCCACATTGGCAGTCTTTAGGAGGAGCCTGAAAACGTGGCTGTTCCAGTGTGCCTTCCCTGAATAAGGAAACAATGCCCTGCTTTGATTAATTCTCTGCAATTGTCCTCAGAAGCACTTTACTACCCGTTGGGTTGCTCTCCCTACATTATCTTTTAAAACTCTACTGCTCAGATACATCCTATCTCTGTTCACACCCAGTGTTTATTTTAAAAAATATATTTTTTAACACATCTGGCCTGGTCATAAGGTTTTAAATTCTCTGTGCTATTGTTTATATGTAAGTTATATTAATTGTACTTTTTTAATTGCTTGCTATTTGTTTTTACTGATGTGTTGTTGGGCTTGGCCTCATGTAAGCCGCCCCGAGTCCCCTTGGGGAGATGGTGGTGGGGTATAAATAGTTTTATTATTATTATATTATTACACACACAGAGAGAGTCTTTCTTCCATGATGGAAGCAATGCACACTACGTAGTCATTTCAAAAAAACATTCCCAACTTTGAGACATGTATCAGGAAAAGGAAAGAGGGGTATTAACTTACCTGTTGAGGTGTGTCTTCACTAAATCTATCAAGCTCAGGGAAGGAACATCCAATGACATTTCCTTCAAAAACTGCAAGTAGACTCCAGCAAACAACTCTTTATCAGCATAAAGTAGCAAGCAGACTGTGCCCATAGTCAGGGGCCAGTTGTGTTGCCGGCAAGTGACAAAGACACAGCAGCCCACAATCATCTCCTTCTTCTCCAAGCTGACCAATCTGAAGCAGGGATGCTTGATGGCCTGTTGGTAATAACTCACTGCTGTTTCTTCAAACAGAGAAGGAAGATGGAGAACTTTGCAGAGATCCCGGACACGTTTGATCCCTGCAAAGGAAACACCGTATCAGTACACATTTCATAGAATCATAGAATCAAAGAATCAATGAGTTGGAAGAGACCTCCTGGGCCATCCAGTCCAACCCCCTGCCAAGAAGCAGGAATATTGCATTCAAATCACCCCTGACAGATGGCCATCCAGCCTCTCTTTAAAAGCTTCCAAAGAAGGAGCCTCCACCACACTCCGGGGCAGAGAGTTCCACTGCTGAATGGCTCTCACAGTCAGGAAGTTCTTCCTCATGTTCAGATGGAATCTCCTCTCTTGTAGTTTGAAGCCATTGTTCCTTGTCCTAATCTCCAGGGCAGAAGAAGACAAGCTTGCTCCCTCCTCCCTGTGGCTTCCTCTCACATATTTATACATGGCTATCATATCTCCTCTCAGCCTTCTCTTCTTCAGGCTAAATATGCCCAGCTCCTTAAGCCGGTCCTCATAGGGCTTGTTCTCCAGACCCTTGATCATTTTAGTCGCCCTCCTCTGGACACATTCCAGCTTGTCAATATCTCTCTTCAATTGTGGTGCCCAGAATTGGACACAATGTTCCAGGTGTGGTCTAACCAAAGCAGAATAGAGGGGTAGCATTACTTCCCTAGATCTAGACACTATGCTCCTATTGATGCAGGCCAAAATCCCATTGGCTTTTTTTGCCGCCACCTCACATTGTTGGCTCATGTTTAATTTGTTGTCTACGAGGACTCCAAGATCTTTTTCACACATACTGCTCTCGAGCCAGGCATTGTCCCCCATTCTGTATCTTTGCATTTTGTTTTTTCTGCCTCCTATTAATGCATTTACACTTAGTTTTCACATGCTGCTCAGAGCTTTCCCTGGATATTATAATAATAATAATAATAATAATAATAATAATAATAATAATAATAATAATCTTTATTTCTATACCATCCTATCTCCCTGAGGGGACTCAGGGCGGTTTACAACAGAAAATTGGCAGACTTTCAATGCGGGCATAACATAACAAATAAAATTATAAAATAAACAACATCTGGTGTACTTACAGCACAACTCAAAAATAACAAACTTAAAAATTTAAATATATAAATCAAACATTTAGAACATGTTTACTACTAGATCTGATAATAGCGAACAATCAAAACATTAAAAGTAAAAAGGCATTTACAAGTCAACGGGCTGAGGTGGTGTCCGAGCCAGAGTGTTTAAGGTGCTAGACGAATAAAATTATTATATTGCACAATTCCACAAGTTAAAAAGGACCTACTACTTATTATGTACCTTCAAATCAACTCACTTATGACAACATCCAATACAGGATGTTCTTATCAGAAGAGATTTGTCAATGTCTTCTTCTGAGACTGAAACAGTATGACTTGTCCATGGTTGAGCAGAGAGTTGAAACCTGATCAGGAGTTTTGGTTCAACATTCAAATTACTGTATTGTGCTACCCTGACACCACAATGGCTCTCTTGCGCATTAAGGTAATCTAGTAAGGTTTTTCTTCCGATGCCCCCCTTCTCCAAATGTGGGTCTCTCTGGCTGAGTAGGGATTTGAACCCTGGTTTCCAAGAGTCCAAGTTTAACACTTCTGACACTATACCATACTGGCTCTGACATTCATTTTTGGAAAACACCAAAAGGTACTGATGGAAGATGCAAAATACTTGCCTCTCTGCAGACAATGGCCCAACTGCTCGCTCTCACCAGTACTGCGTGAGTATGTCACTTCTGAAATGAAAGAAAAATTACCACATCAGATATACAGATATAGTGTAGATATACTTATTCAGAGCAAATTGGAACCATGGGATCAACTTGTCCATCCACAGTTTGGATATCCCCCAAATGTCAGATGCAGAGACTCAATGGTCCCAAAACATTACTCCTATCCCCTTTAAACTTCCCAGCTTTTAACTTTTAAAACTTTCATATTTGGCCCTGCCTCGTGTTTTTAAAATGTGTTGTGTTATTATTGTATTGTTTTGCTTTTTATGAGTTATTTATTGTTTTGTTGTTGTTGTTTTCATGATGTTATTGGGCTTGGCCTTTTGTAAGCCACACCGAGTCCTGCGGGAGATGGTAGCGGGGTATAAGAACAATAATAAATAAATAAATAATTCATTTCTCAAACTACTATTTTGTTTTTCTTTCTTCTTCCTTTCAAAAACTGAATATTGAAATCATCCAGATGGCCACCTGTTGGGGGTGCTTTGAATGTGATTTTCCTGCTTCTTGGCAGAATGGGGTTGGACTGGATGGTCCATGAGGAGTCTTCCAACTATAATTCTATGATATGTGGAGTTTTCTCCTTTCCTTCATATACTGGGCACAAAAAGACTTCAGTATAAACCTCAGCTCATGCTGTCACAGCTGCTGTTTAGTTCAATTCTGATCACACAACTTTCTGCCACTCTGGGTCAGAGTGAAGAGAGAGGGGGCGAGGGGACTATTCCACCTTGTCTCCTGCATATGTCATCAGCTGGGGACCCCTCCCCCCAGCACCAACTGCCACTCTGGGCCAGAGTGAAGAGAGAGGGAGCCAGGGAACAGTTCCATCTTGTCTCCTGTGCTATGCTAATTGTATAATATAATACAATTAGCATGCCTCGAACATGGCCATATAGCCCAAAAAAACCTACAACAACCCAATATAAATATTGTTTATACATATAATATTTATAATATTATAATGTAATGCAATATAATAGTACTAATTATATATATATATACTTACTTGCCCAGTTAAATGCGCAATTCCAGAGGTTAGCCAGAAGAGATAAGGAACTATTTTTAAATAAGCAATGCATGGAAGTGGAAGAAGACAGCAGAATAGGAAGGACAAGAGACCTCTTCCAGAAAATTAGAAACATTGGAGGTAAATTTCAGGCAAAAATTGGTATGATAAGAAACAAAGATGGCAGGGACCTAACAGAAGCTGAAGAGATCAAGAGAAGGTGGCGAGACTATACAGAAGATCTGTATAGGAAGCATAATAATATTGAGGATAGTTTTGACGGTGACAAGGACCAAGTAGCAACAGTCAGAACTGACCACGGAACAACAGACTGGTTCAATATTGGGAAAGGCGTACGGCAAGGCTGCATCCTCTCACCCAACCTTTTTAACTTGTATGCAGAACACATCATGCGATGTGCGGGGCTGGATGAATGCAAAGCTGAGGTGAAAATTGCTGGAAGAAACATTAACAACCTCAGATATGCAGATGATACCACTTTGATGGCTGAAAGCGAGGAGGGACTGAGGAGCCTTATAACCAAGGTGAAAGAAGAAAGTGCAAAAGCTGGATTGCAGTTAAACATGAAAAAAAAACAAGATTATGGCAACCAGACTGATTGATAACTGGCAAATAGAGGGAGAAACTGTGGATGCTTGGTGATTTCTAGGTGCAAAGATTACTGCAGATGCAGACTGTGGCCAGGAAATCAGAAGACGCTTACTTCTTGGGAGGAGAGCAATGTCCAGTCTCGATAAAATAGTAAAGAGTAGAGACATCAGACTGGCAACAAAGATCCGTCTAGTCAAAGCCATGGTATTCCCTGTAGTAACCTACGGATGTGAGAGCTGGACCTTAGGGAAGGCTGAGCGAAGGAAGATCGATGCTTTTGAGCTGTGGTGTTGGAGGAAAGTTCTGAGAGTGCCTTGGACTGCGAGAAGACCCAACCAGTCCATCCTCCAGGAAATAAAGCCCGACTGCTCACTGGAGGGAAAGATACTAGAGACAAAGTTGAAGTACTTTGGCCACATCATGAGGAGACAGGAAAGCCTAGAGAAGACAATTATGCTGGGGAAAGTGGAAGGAAAAGGAAGAGGGGCCGACCACGGGCAAGATGGATGGATGGCATCCTTGAAGTGACTGGACTGACCTTGAAGGAGCTGGGGGTGGTGACGGCCGACAGGGAGCTCTGGCGTGGGCTGGTCCATGAGGTCACGAAGAGTCGGAGACGACTGAACGAATGAACAACAACATACTTACTTCATTTACTTGTAACCCGCCCTTCTCACCCCTGAGGGCAGACTCAAGGCGGCCTCACAGCAAACACCATTCGGTGCCATCATGATAAGAACAATCAACAAATTCATTAAAACAAAACATTAAACAGTTGTTAAAACACACCAGTTGTTAAACAGTTGTAAAAACACACAAATTAAAATCTGGGTCCAGGTCAATTCATTGTCACTTCGAAATTGCTTATGTCTTCTTCATACAAGCCGCTATTTAATGGTCAAATATTTATATTACATGTAATATTACTAATAATATTACAATATAATGGTATAGTACAACATAGTAATATTTAATCCTGTTATTGTATTATGCTAATAATATAATATATTGTATGTATAATATATCTTGTAAGCCGCTTCGGGGTGAGAAGGGCGGCATATAAATGTCGCAAATAAATAAATAAATATATAGGGGCATCCAATCGTTGCGGACTGTAAGCCACCCTGAGTCTGCCCCCCCCCCCCCCCCCCGGGACTGAGAAGGGCAGGGTATAAATATCTATATAAATAAAAATGTGGTGTTCATTTGTGGGATTAACATAACTCAAAAACCACTGGACGAATTGACACCAAATTTGGACACAATACACCTATCAGGCCAATGAGTGACCATCACTCATAGAAACACTGAAAAACATAGTGTAAGCAAAGAGACGCTACAGTACATGCGCAAAAACGACTCCCCCGGCAAACAAAACACACAATAGCATATCCACACTTTCTTCTGGACTACAGCTCCCAGCATTCCCTAAACCAAGCCCTTTAGGAGAGGAGGGTGATCCAAATGCACTGCTTCCAAGCTGCAAGCTTTCTTCTTGGAGCATCCCAGCCCCCGCATATTTCCAATTTTCTGTTCCTGGACTGCAACTTCCAGCAATCCTCCAGACAGGTAAAATAGATTGATTAGATAGAGATACGTAGGTAGGTAGATAGATGGATCAGGAGGACTGTTAGGAGTTGCAGTCCAAGAATAGGTAGAGAAGGAAGAAAGGGGAGAAAAAGGAAGGGAAAGAAAAAGCGGGGAAGGAAGGGTAGAGGAAGAGAAGGAAGGAGAGAAAGAAAGAAAAAAAGGGAAGGAAGGAGAGAAAGAAAGAAGGAGTAAAAGAGGATGGGAAGGTTGGCCACAGCAAAATGCGGTGGTTACAGCTAGTCCATATAAATAAAAATGTAATGTTCGTTTGTGGGATTAACAGAACTCAAAAACCACTGGACGAATTGACACCAAATTTGGACACAAGACACCTAACAACCCAATGTATGTCCTTCACTCAAAAAATGATTTTGTCATTTGGGAGTTGTAGTTGCTGGGATTTATAGTTCACCTTCAATCAAAGAGCATTCTGAACTCCACCAATGATGGAATTGAACCAAACTTGGCACACAGAACTCCCATGACCAACAAAAATACTGGAAGGGTTTGGTGGGCAGTGTCCTTTGGTTTTGGAGTTGTAGTTCACCTACATCCAGAGAGCACTGTGGACTCAAACAATGATGGATCTGGACCAAACTCTACACGAATACTCAATATGCCCAAATGTGAACACTGGTGGAGTTTGGGGAAATAGAATCTTGACATTTGGGAGTTGTAGTTGCTGGGATTTATAGTTCACCTACAATCAAAGAGCATTCTGAACACACCAATGATAGAATTGGGCTAAACCTCCCACACAGAACCCCCATGTGGGCCACAGCAACGCGTGGCAGGGGACGGCTAGCATCTATATAAATGAAAAAAGGGGTGTTTGTTTGTGGGACTAACATACCTCGAAAACCACTGAACGAATTGACACCAAATTTGGACACAAGATCAGGCCAATGAGTGACCATCATTCATACAAACACTGAAAAACACCGCAGAAGTGATTTAAAAATCCAAAAAATCCAAAATACATTACAATGCATGTGCACAAATAATATATATATATATATATATATATATATATATGCAAACACACACATATACACACACACAAAACACATATACATAGATTGGGCCAGAGCAACGCGTGGCAGGGGAAACCACAACGTTGTGGCCACTCTTGGCCTGCCTCACCTTGGAGGTGCTGCTCCTCGGCGAAGGTGGTGGTGAGGAGCCCTTCGGTGAGAACGAAGCCACAGTCTGCGCACACCAGCTGGCTCTGAGCGTAGTGAGAGTCCTCCACGATGTCCAGGGAGCCGCAGTCTGGGCACTTTTTGGGGCCCGCCATCTTCGCCGCCTGGAAAAGGAGGCAGGGAACAGCCAGGAAACAGCACAAGCCTTTTCCAACCTGACCCAGAGCAGGGCCGGGGACGGACTTTCCCCGCCAGCCTCAAAGAATCACCTTCCAATGTCTCCAACGCAGCCCCGTTGTTTTCCTTCTCAGACCGGAAGTCGTCGCGCGGGGGAACTGTTTCCACGTCGGACCCACTTTTTAAAAGCAAGCGCCATGACAACCGGGCACTCACTAAGCTGAGGCGCGAACGACTAGAAAATGCTTCCGGTAGGGAAACAAAGAGCGGAGAAAGGTTCCGGATTGGACCTATATAGCAGTGTTTCTCAACCTGGGGGTCGGGACCCCTGGAGGGGTCACGAGGGGGTATCAGAGGGGTCGCCAAAGACCACGAGAAAACACAGTATTTTCTGTATTGTCGAAGGCTTTCATGGCCGGAATCACTCAGTTCTTGTTTTTTTCAGGCTGTATGGCCATGTTCTAGAGGCATTCTCTCCTGACGTTTCGCCTGCATCTATGGCAAGCATCCTCAGAGGTTGTGAGGTCTGTTGGAACTAGGAAAAAGGGTTTATATATCTGTGGAAGGACCAGGGTGAGACAAAGGACTCTTGTCTGCTGGAGCTAGGTGTGAATGTTTCAACTGACCACCCTTATTAGCATTTGAAGGCCTGACAGGTGGTCAGTTGAAAGATCCATACCTAGCCCAACTTACAAAAGCCCTTTGTCTCACCCTGGTCATTCCAAAGATATATAAACCCCTTTTTCCCCAGCTCCAGCAGACCTCACCTCTGAGGATGCTTGCCATAGATGCAGGCGAAACTTCAGGAGAAATGCCTCTAGAACATGGCCATATAGCCCGAAAAAACCAGAAAACAGTATTTTCTGTTGGTCATGGAGGTTCTGTGTGGGAAGTTTGGCCCAATTCAATCCTTGGTAGGGTTCGAATGCTCTTTGATTGTAGGTGAACTATAAATCCCAGCACCTACAACTCCCAAATGTCAAGGTCTATTTCCCCCAAACTTCACTGGTGTTTACATTTGGATATACTGAGAATTCGTGCCAAGTTTGGTCCAGATCCATCATTGTTTGAGTCTACAGTTCTCTCTGGATGTAGGTAAACTACAACTCCCAAAACTCAAGGTCAGTGCCCACCAAACCCTTCCAGTATTTTCTGTTAGTCATGGGAGTTCTGTGTGCCAAGTTTGGTTCAATTCCATTGTTGGTGGAGTTCAGAATGCTCTTTGATTGTAGGTGAACTATAAATCCCAGCAACTACAACTCCCAAATGTCAAGGTCTATTTTCCCCAAACTCTACTAGTGTTTACATTTGGGCATACTGAGAATTCGTGCCAAGTTTGGTCCAGATCCATCATTGTTTGAGTCTACAGTTCTCTCTGTAGGTAAACTACAACTCCCAAAACTCAAGGTCAGTGCCCACCAAACCCTTCCAGTATTTTCTGTTGGTCATGGGAATTCTGTGTGCCAAGTTTGATTCAGTTCCATCGTTGGTGGAGTTCAGAATGCTCTTTGATTATAGGTGAACTATAAATCCCAGCAACTACAACTCCCACAGAACAAAATCACACACATATCAGATATTTACATTACTATTCATAACAGCAGCAAAATGAGTTTTGAAGTAGCAATGAAACTAATTTTATGGTTGGGGGTCACCATAACATGAGGAAACGTATTAAGGGGTCGTGGCATTAGGAAGGTTGAGAAACACTGACTTATAGAATCATAGAATCCTCGAGTTGGAAGAGACCTCATGGGCCTCATGGTCCAACCCCCTGCCAAGAAGCAGGAATATTGCATTCAAATCACCCCTGACAGATGGCCATCCAGCCTCTGTTTAAAAGCTTCCAAAGAAGGAGCCTCCACCACACTCCGGGGCAGAGAGTTCCACTGCTGAACAACTCTCACAGTCAGGAAGTTCTTCCTCATGTTATTTGTTTGTTTGTTGGTTTGTGAAATTTATATGCCACCCTTCTCACCCCGAAGGGAACTTAGAGCGACTTACAAAATATACATACATGCAATATATTATATTATTAGCATACTTACTTAGGCGATTCCTCGTAGTCTGAGAATGATGATCCTCCAAGTGTAGTGTACTGGCGGTGGGTCCGTAGGTGACTGTGGCACCCTATTCTTGACCTGCATCTTCTCCTGCACTGAGGACATCGGTTTCCAGGTGGAAGGCGGTCCCGGTCGGGGTTGGCTTGATGACCTCTTTCCACCTGGAAAGCAATGCCCTCACTATGGGAGAACATGCAGGTCAAGAATAGGGCTCCAGAGTCGCTTACGTATCCACTGCCAAGACACATCACTTAGAGGACCATCATCCTCGGACTATGAGGATCACCTAAGTATGTTAGAATAATAGAAGCAGCCAGGCTTTGAAGCTGCAAGGCCAATTAGTGCTAATCAATGTGGCCGATTGCAACATCCACACTTGCCTCCAACAGATAAAGAGTTATTTCTCCCACCCTGGACCTTCCACAGCCAGTCTTTGAAGCTGCAAGGCCATTCAATACTAATCAGGGGGCAATTGCAACATTCACACTTGCCTCAAACAGACAAGAGTTCTTTCTCCCACCATGGACATTCCACAGGATATATAAACCCACTTGCCTAGTTTCCACCAGACTTCACAATCTCTGAGGATGCCTGCCATAGTTGCAGGCAAAAGGTCAGGAGAGAATGCTTCTGGAACATGGCCAGACAGCCTGGAAATCTCACAGCAACCCAGCAATAAATACCATTACCAAAACCACATGGGCCATTTAGTCCAACCCCCTGCTATTCAGGAAAAACACAATCAAAGCAGATGACCATCCAGCTCTTGTTTGAAAACTTCTAAGGAAGGAGCTTCCATCAGACTCCGAGGCAGAGAGTTCCACTGTTGAACATCTCTTCTTAAAGTCAGGAAGTTCTTCCTAATGTTCAGGCGGAATCTCCTTCTCTGCCATTTGAACCCATGGTTCCGAGTCCTAGTTTCCAGGGTAGCAGAAAACAAGCCTGCTCCCTCTTCCTTGTGACATCATTTCATATATTATGCATGGCTATCATGTCTCTTTATATATAAATGTGCCATCGTGCCTGGGGGCTATAGCTCTTAGTGGAAGAGGCTTGGACGTGACATCTTTCCCCAGGGGATTGCTTCTTGCCCTCCTTTAGGAAACTGGAACTCCCAAAGACCAAAACACAACAGATAACTCGAAATGGTATTTATTGTTCACAATGAGTTATCTTTCTCAGGCATAAGCTTGATGTTTCAACAGGGATAAAGGAAATATACTTTACAATCTCTGAAGTCCAAGGAGTTTGCAGCTGAGAAGCTTTTCCTGTTTCTTCTTTCCTCAATGGCTGTGAATATCGGAATAAACACAACCCCAGTCCAATGGCCTATGTTGAAGGGACAAGACCTTCCTCTGGTGCCAAAAGAACCGGTTTGAAGGCGCTTTGGTCTCCTCAATGTTGTCCAGGACAATCTGGACATAAAGCATGAGTCCCCAAGGGTAAAGAACCTTAGAATTGGTGCTGAGAGGTAATTTAAGCAGAGGCTTTTAGAACCAAGTCTCTTACTCACGTCCATCTGATAGAAATTCTGATGGCAGAATGAAAAAAGGGAAGCACTCCCCTCCTCCAGGAAGAGGTGGAGCCAAACAATTGAGCTTGAGAAAGCAATTCAACTTGTGCAAACAACATTGATTGATAGCTATAAATAACCAATCAATCCAACTATACAAGCAGGGTAAAAGGCAGGATTAAGCATGATACAACAGTTTAAATCTTTGTGTAGAACAACTAGCAGTTCTACACATAGGTGGCGCCACTCACGCCGTCACAATAAAAGTGAAGAATTTCGTAGTCTAGTATGAAGTACAGTAAAGTACTATAAACTATATGGCTTTAGCGGCTGAGGAGGAAAAGGGAAGGGCCTGGGGCTGTTAGGAATTGTGGGAGTTGAAGTGCAAAACATCTGGAGGGCTGAACTTTCCCCATGCCTGATTTATATAAACCTGTACATTGGACAAATGTATTAATTGGCTTAAACCTGATTTATGTTGCAGTGCATTGGGGGATCCTTGGAGTCAGCATCATTACAGTGTCCCAAAATGATACGTGTCTCAAAAAGTGTCACCAACTTGAAATGTCTGGAAAGCTCTTTGCTCAGCATTAAGCAAGTTACTCTTACAGTCTCTCAAAATAAGAGTGATCATGATGTTGACTGTGGGCAAGTAAGGAGGCCTGCTTTTTATGTGCTGACTGCATATATTCTACTCAATATAACCAATGAGGACAAGGGTAAGGATAAATATTTCCAAGCCCTTTGGGGCGGCACAATGGGTTAAATCCTTGTGCTGCTGAACTGAAGGTCAGCTGTTCGAATGCGTAAGACGGGGTGAGTTCCCATCTGTCAGCTCCAGCTCCAGCCAACCTAGCAGTACAAAAACATGCAAATGTGAGTAGATAAATAGGTACTGCTTCAGCAGAAAAAGGCAAAAAGACACTACAAGCAATCTTGCTGGCCACACAACCAGGAGGTGACAACACAGGCTCCTTAGCTTGAAAATGGAGAATAATAAAGTACTTCCGAGGGCATTTTAGGCAGGATTTGGTCAGGTCAGGGATGATTGTTCATTCATTCATTGAAGGCACCTCCCCAGAACTAGAGATTACTATTGTCTCCAGAAGCCGGAAATGAAAGGAGAAGCCTCTACCTTTGTTTGTGTTTGTGTGTCTCATTCATTGTATATGATTGTAAAGGCATCAAATGTTTGTCTGTGTATGTAAATGCTGTAATCCGCTCTCTCCAGGAGCCGGAAATGAAAGGAGAAGCCTCTACCTTTGTTTGTGTTTGTGTGTCTCATTCATTGTATATGATTGTAAAGGCATTGAATGTTTGTCTGTGCATGTAAATGCTGTAATCCGCTCTCTCCAGAAGCCGGAAAGGAAAGGAGAAGCCTCTACCTTTGTTTGTGTTTGTGTGTCTCATTGTATATGGTTGTAAAGGCATTGAATGTTTGTCTTTGTATGTAAATGCTATAGTCCGCTCTCTCCAGAAGCCGGAAATGAAAGGAGAAGCCTCTACCTTTGATTGTGTTTGTGTGTCTCATTCAATCATTTGATTGTGTGTCTCATTCATTGTATATGATTGTAAAGGCATCGAAAGTTTGTCTGTGTATGTAAATG